GGAGCCAGAGGGAGCCAGAGGGAGGGTAGTTTGTCCTGGATGCTGCTTGTCGTCGCGTGCTCGTCGCTGCTGCACCATTGATTCAGTAAACTCAGTTTTCATGTTCCACCGTCTCAACTTTCTCTCCTATTCTCCACATCCGATGCTTCAGGGCAGACAGGCGACTCTCGCAGGAAAGCACATGAAAGGCAGACCTTGACGCCCAGCCGCGCATGGCGAGATTGAACCACAACCATAGGGGTTCTAACCATTCGTGATCGTCTCACACCAAGCGCCAGAGCCGACTTCACCCTCTCAGCAGTGCGCATCTCACTAATGCCATGAGCTGTTCCTATCCCTTCCCCGTCAAGATTCCAAAAAGCGTCCAAAAGCGTCCAACACCAACTAAGCTCGACTTACAACCTCGCGTGGAATACGACAACCCGGGAAATGAGGGTGACGAGTTACCCGTACTCCCGTACGGCCCGCACGTCGTACCCAAGGCAGCAGAGTCCAGAGGTCGCTTCGCTCGCCTCTTACACCGTTCCCGAGGGACGAGTGAACGACACCCTAGAAACCGGGCGCAGCAGCTTAGCTCTAAACGCGCGGTATTCCGTACGGGCCCTGCAACTGCAGATACTGTTACCAAACACACGCGCAAACAAAGAATCTCTCCCTCGAGTCGGGTTGTTGCCAATGACTTCACACGCGACTACTCACTAAGAAAGTACACAGACTGAAATGAATCCCTCCAACTGCCCCTCGTGACTAAACCACCAACTGAGACGAGGGGGGGAGCATCTGAACCGCACAAAAAAAGGGGTGTGTGCGTTTGCAGCAGTCCCTTGCTTTTTCTGGATGCCAGAAACGCCCAGACTCGTCTCGGCCTAGCGGTCCTGAAAGAAACCTAACCCAAATCTCAAAAGTCAAGACAACGGCGGGGGGCCGACTCGGCGAGGTCATGATGGAGAACTTGCCAGCTACTGACTGCCGGAGATATTTCATGCTGGTCAAGAGAGACAAGCAACAAAGGCAGAAGCGCTTCCATGTCCCGGATACCCCATGCCCGAACGAGGAAACTCGACCTAATCCGGGCTTTTGATAAATGAAAGAGATGCAGGCATGAGTTGATGAGGTAGCCATCACCAACAGCTACCCGCCGAGTCCAGAGTGCTTGCATGAGCTATCCGTACCTCGTCCCACATATCCCAATCCGCCCTGTAAAGTCGAGCATGTCACCTCATGGATACAGATCCTCTGCTCAAATTTCCAACCCTCACGTGAGCTTACCCAGCATCGAGAACTTCTTCCAATCTCAATCCAAACTCCATCCAATCCTCACCCACAACGAACAGTGCGTCGTCCGTTGAAATCATACCGCACGCAAATAACTTTACCTTACTTTAGTCTTCGTGTCTACCCTTTAGTCTCCGTGTCTACCTGCGGTGCTACCTCAAGCTCTAAAGGTATCTAAGCCCTCCAAGGTAGGTAGAGTAGCAGGCGAACAGACAATCACGGTGCGTCGAGGCGTCTCACCTCGCCAACCTTTCCAGTGTTTATTCCGTTTTCAGTGACGCGCAGGATATCCCGTACGGTACCTTGAGTTCGAACCTCGAACCGCCGAGGGGAAGATGGGCGGCACAGGGGAAAACTCAATTCAACCCCGAGCTCCTCTAAATCCTACCAAACCAACCTCACCTTGAACTGAGGCTTGAGGGCAAGGCTCGACCCAACCCGACCAAACAAAACAAAACAAACCATGCTCCCAACGTCGTATCGTCCATCCCCTCCACCAGAGTTAGAAACGCGTTACAGAATCAAGCACCCATGCATCTCTTCCCCCTCACGTACGGATACGTACTCCGTATCCTCTCCACCTTACTCTCAGTCGAAACCAACAGTGGCCCACCAGCTCCATGACGTCCGACACATCACCCACCGTCCGCCCTCCGCCCCCGGCACATGCCCCCGGGGCTCCATTCCCGCCGTCCTCAATACCAACCCTCACCCGGCGACGGACATCCCGTGGCAATGCCGTCCCGGCTGTGGCGCAGGACCTTTATCCAACCTTTCCCCATCCCACATTCCTCCTGCTTCCATGCCGCATTCATTCACTCGATGAAACCCGGCATCCTTTCATTCCCCTGGTATCCGCATTCCTCTCCCACTCTTTCGTACCTGAATACTGCACGCGAGCGGAAACGCCACTCCCGTCATCTGTTCCTCTCATCATCACATTCCCCTTTTCTCATTCCCATACGACAAAGAACAAACCCGGTATCCTATCCCATACATGATGTATCCCACCTTTCCAACCCCTTCACCCTTCCTCGCCGAATCAAGTTAGCCTCCACTGACAAACTGGACCCCTTCTCGCCATGGATGATGAGGGGGGGGGGGGTTCTCTTTCCCGACTTTTGTTCCACCGGCAGGGGTGGCATCAAGAACGTCCCACCTGCTTCCCTGGTAAAGGAGGGAGTGAAACGCCGTTCGCGAGCGTGACACCCTCGCGCCGCTACAACCTCAATCCTCGAGTCGAAGAACAACAGTGACATTTCCCCCTTCCTACCTCGTAACCTGTGGCTTCCAATGAGAAAACCTCTTCTCATCCGTACGACAATTGAGGCTCAGACGACGTATCGTGGGTGATGTGCTTCTGAGGTTCTCACGTCGAGTATCGAAACAAAGGTAATGCCTAAGGGCTGGTGTCGGGCTTTCACAGCTTATGACTCCTCCAAGTGAGGCTGAGATTGGAAAGTAAAGACGCATCTTACTTAGCATGCTGTCCACCTATTCCCAAACCTCAATCACCTCATCCACGATCCCTGGGTTTGATGATGCTTTTTCCTCGCAGAGGGTTCGCATGAGGGCGTCGAATTCTAGCCTCAATCCATCTTGTCTGTTAATATGTTATTTTCAATCGAATATTGAGATATCCAAAGCGATGCCGATTATTCCTACATCTTTCTCAATAAGGATGGGCCTGTACACGGCATCGAGAAGTTCCTCCTACATCTACTCGCATGTAATTACTCCTCAAGTCACACCGCGCTCCCAAAATGAGACACCCAGTTAAAGTTCATCATCGATCATCAACGTACCAAAACTCCATCCAACTAATGCAAATGCTTCAAGCGATACCTCGGGATGCAGTTCAACAATGCAGATGCCTCCTGGCCCATGACCCAAAGCCCGCTTCCTGAAAGACGACGCAATGCAACAAGAAAGCCAGGTCCACCGCCTCGCGCGTCAGGGACTCAATTGAACTCGGAAAACAACCCGCTCAACCCATCCTCCTTGCCGCGATCCCACTCCCGCTTCTCCCCGGCCTTGGCCCACCGCACATCCCGCTCGTCCTTCTGCTCGTCGGCCGTGCCGCCCTCCCTCCACTTCTTCAGCATCACATCGGTGTATCCGGCCGCCCGCATCCGCTCCTCCTGATTCTGCCGCCACTTCTGCCTGTCCCTGAACGCTTCCACGGCGTCGTCCCAATTCTCTCCCGGGTGTTTGTCGTCGTCGGCCATCTCCACGTCCGTTTTGGGGTTGTAGTCCGCCTCAAAGCGCTTGTCGATACCCGAAGCCCCCGAGGCGGTGCCTCGGCCGCGCGAACGGACTTGCTGCGGCGGTTCCGGGCCAATGAACTCGTCCAACGGATCCGAGTCGGATGCTGTCGTCTGGGGCTCCTGCTCGCGCGCTCGCCCTCCGTCGCGTTGGCGGCGGCTGCTGCCCTTGATGGAGAACCCCGATTGTGGCCTCTCCCGGCTCCGGTCTCTGCGTGACCGGTGGCTCTTCGACATGAGGTCCTGTCCTTCTTCGTCTCGTCTCTTTTCCCTTTCGCTTCGCCGTGACTTTGACGCAATCTCCCTATCCTCGATTGGCGACCGATGGCGGTGCCTCCTGTGCTTTTCGTCGGGTGAGCGTGACCTCCGCCGATCACTCTTGTGTCGTCGGCGATCATCCCGCTCCGAATCCGATTCGTCCCTTCTACTCCGGCGGTGCTTTCTACCGCTTTCGCGCTCTGGAGATTCGCTCCTGCGTTCTTTGCGATGTGCCCTCCGCGGTAGCGAGTCTTCCTCCTTGTGCAACTTCTCTTTCGACGTCCCTGATCGACTGGGCCTGGATCTGTCCTTGCGGTCTCCCAAGATAGATAGGATGTCTCCCATCTGTCTCTTTCGAATATCCTGCGGGCCTGCCTTCCTCCGCCTCTCCTTCTCCTCGGCGTGTTCCAGATCCTTCAAGCGCGCGCGTGATTCGGCGGCCTCTTTGGCCAGGAGGTTCTTGTTGTGCGTATTCGTGTCCTTGATAATGTGGCGCAGGAAACGAGTGTTTGGTTTAGGCATATTTGCCGGTCTAAAGGGAGAATCCTATTAGATGGTGACGTGAGGGAATCGGGAGAGTAGTGGGACGTACTTCTTGTCTGCCCTGTCCATGACTGCCTCTTTGGCGAGCAAGTCGGCGACGTAGTCGTCCGTGATCATGTCGTGGCTCGACATTGTGAGGCCTTGGTAACCAAATCGTAGATCCAAAAGGTGACGAGATGACCACGCGCCTTCCGAGCACGCAAAATCAGGCTGATGGCTGCGGCATCCGGCGGCTGGCTGGGGTATGTGCCTCTTTTTGTCGCGAATAGAAGAGAAGCGCGGGGGATCTAGAAGTGCCGGTCTCGAACCGATGAAGGAATTCAGAAGTGACAGCGGCAGGGCTCTTCAACGAGGCTGTTGAATGAAGCGATGGAGAGGGGCAGCGGGGGTTCGCTTAGTTGAAAGGTGTCGTTGTCGCAAACTGCGGCGTTTGGAGGATTGATCGACGACAGCAGCAAAGGCCGCCAGAGTCACATCGACAAGGGACTTGGCGCGCAGTGGGATGCCTGCCGTTTTCCGCACGGTCAGATACCTTATCAGCCGATAACAGCTTGTCGGAGATAAGGAAGCGATAAGATAAAGATGGCACCTTACTAAATCTAGACCTAAGTAAACAAACGTTACAAAGGTGCAGCGCCCACCTCAAGGTATGTTAACTTAGCTGACAGACCCTGGGCGCTTGAGGGCAAATAATTAACAACCGCGACAGACCTCCCCCGCCGACATCATCTCCGACGCGCCAACGACGAAACTTGAATCGCCAGCGCACCTACTGGGACAAAGACATACGACAACAACACAGCTAATCAACCTTCCAAGAAATGGACGCGGGAAAGGCGGCCCAAGTGCTGCGCAAAATCGAAGACCTTAATGAGAACCATGAAATCTCCATCATCAGACTCAGCGAACCCATCTCCAGCGCCGTCGCGCAAGAATCACGGCAACGGACGTCAGACGCATCCAACGCATCCCAAGATGCCGCGACACCAGCCAGCCTAGAGGCCGACCTCGAACACTACAAGGAGCTCTTCGCCAAGCTTCGGTTCTCCTACGTTGAGCAAGTCACGAAAGAAAAGTTCATACGTGCCATCGTTGGCGATCCGCCCGTCATCGTCACGCCGCAGGAGAATCTGGAGCTAGAAAAGGCGAACCTCGAGGCCAAGGCGCAACTCAAGGCGCTCAAGGTGGAAGTCGCGGACATGGTGACGGAGCTGGAGAGGAAGGGCAAGGAGCTGGCTAAGCGGTACGAGAACGTGTCGCTGGATACGACGAAGCTGAGGGAGCTGCCCGACAAAATTGCCGAGTTGGAGGAGCAGGTGGCGGAGCTCAAAGAGTCGCAAGCACCGGGACAGAGCCCGATGATGAACCTGCCTCTGGCGAGGACCCTCGAACTGGTGGACGAGAAGAAGAGGCAGCAGCAGCAGTTGGATCGCGAGCTGGAGCAGTTGCAGGCCAGGGTGCCGCGCAAGAGAAAGGAGCTGGAAAGGCTGCAGGCTGAGCTGATGCCCTTGGAGGCCAAAAGGCAGAACAGCACGGCAGCTGCCAAGGAGGCGCGAAGGCGGAAGGATAGAGCCGGTGGTGATGCAGACGACCTCGAGGAGCGGGGCCGCTGGTTGAGGGCCAGCGAGGCGGCGCTCAAGCAGATGTTGGATATCCAGGGTTGAGAGGGGGTTGGTACAACGGGCGGATGGGAAGACGGTGGACGACGTAATGATTTTGTATACCCGCACACAGCAGGCCCAGTCATGGGTTAAAAGACGGCGTTCCCAGGCGTTTGGAGATGACATGAATTCACCGACTCGTTTTACTCGTTTTAATGGCGCCAGCTACAATGCCATCACTCAATGGTGGAATGCGAATTTACCTCTGTCCTGCCTCGCATCCTCACCTCATTCTGTTCTGAGTGCAATTTGCTGTATCGCATAGTAGCTGACATACAACACGGGAAGCATCCGCTGCAGTCTCAAAGAGACAAAATAGTCTCAAATGGGGCTGTCCAGGGGTTTGTCACCAGCGAAAAATGATGGATTGGCGGCTGGAAAACAAGACCCACCAAGATTTGAGGACAGGGATGCGGCGGCGGTGCACAGGCAGGTCGAGTCCCCTGGCTGGCTGGGGAAGGCGTTGATTGGACGAAGATCGAACCCTCGGTCACGTGTAGTGCCATCCACGAATTTTCAGAGTGGCCGGATGGGTAGGCCCCACCAAGCCCAATCCTCTCGCTTAGGTCACGCACCACGAAATTTGACAATCGAGCGTCTTTCTCGATTGATTCCTCCGCGAACCAACTAACCGACCAGCAACCACCGAACACCATCGTCGACCACCGAATACCGCCAAGATGAGTACGTTTTAGCCGCCGCCGTCGTCGCCGTCGTCTTCGCGACGAGAGGTTGACCTTCTACGCCGTTCCGATGGACTGACCGATGTTTTTTTTCTTGTATAGCGAAGGGTACCTCCTCGTTTGGTAAGAGACACAACAAGACGCACACCTTGTGCCGTCGTTGCGGTAAGTGGCATCTACCTGGGAGGAGGTCGAGTTCTGGTTCACTAGGACGCGACTACTTGCCAAAATTCGAGATTCGATACGGGTTCAAGAAGCTGATCAATGTTTGTGTGTTTTCAGGTCGCCGATCGCTTCACATCCAGAAGCACACCTGCTCTTCCTGCGGTTACCCCTCGGCCAAGACCCGCAAGTGTACGTTTTACCCTCCCGAACGACGAACCCAATCCGAGTCCCCAGACATATTCAATATACCAATCCCCCGAGATGATCTCAATGCTACGCCACATGTTTCACGACTACCCAATACACGCAACAACCACACAAGAACCATGAACCGAGCAAAGTGAAGACGAGTTACTGACGTAGGATGCGATTTACAGACAACTGGTCCGAGAAGGCCAAGCGGAGAAAGACCGTCGGCACCGGCCGCATGCGCTACATGAAGGACGTCTCCCGCCGCTTCAAGAACGGCTTCCAGTCCGGTGTCCCCAAGGGTTCCGCCGGCCCCACCGCGCAGGAGTCGTGAGCGATGATTGGAATGTGATTCGGGTCGACATGGGGAGGTATCTGTGCAATCGAGGGCATTCGGGCGATGGGGGAATGAAAAATTGAGATCGAGGCGAGGGGGACCAGGGAAGGCGTGGCCACGCCGCCGGAGTCTTGTCTACTCGGGAAACGATATCACGAAAAGAAATCAAAGGGAAAACATCAGCTCCTTTTTTTTTCTTCTGCATTTTTCTTCCCTCCCCCTCTGTCTATCTCACCCCTCCCCTCGTTTTTTTGACTCGGAAGCAAAGCCAATATCAAAAAAAGAGTCAAAACAAAACCAAAGCATTTGGCCAAAAATCGAACGGGTGTTTTTACGTCTTCTCATGTTATCTCGCGCGCGGGCTCTTCAGGGGGATAAACTCACTTTTTTTTACACACGGGAAAAACGGATCCTGAGGGAAAAGAGAAATGACTTTGCTTGTCTTGTTCACTCACTGATCCCACGCGCAACTGGATAATGGTGAATGATCAATTTGTGGATGCTTCCGATGCCGATTCGCCTCATCACGATGGGTTCTAATGATATGTGTGCCAACAACCGCACGGTTATGGGTGAGGGTTCATGGGGGATTTTAAGAGACGAAACATCGTACTTTGACATGACAGCTTGGATATCCCCTTATCGTGAGATGATTACTTGCATTCGAGGGGTATATCATATCCCGACTTCAAGCCTGTAGCAACCCCTTCAAGCCCCTTGCCCACTTGACCGCTTTCCAGCGGGTGGTGACATGTAACTTCAATACTTAATCACCCCCTCCCTAGACTTCATCACTGCCCCCTCCCAAACACCTTGACGCTCCCATCCCCACCAACAAAGTACAACAATTCCGTCTCCTCAACCGCCCTATCCTCCTCGCCACCCCCTCCAGCCGTGACCCTCAACACTCCGCTGACATCGCTCGCGTTGCCCGTGTCGAGCAGCCTCAGACCAATCACCGTCTCCGCGGCATGCGCCAGCCCGAGAACGAGACTCGCATGCTCCTTCTCTAGTGTCGTGGTTTGCGCCGCGATGAGCGGCTCGTCTGCTGCGACGGTGATGATGGAGGCGTGGACTTTCTGAATGATGTGTCAGTGAAGAACCCCTCGATTTGAGAATGATAAAAAAGGGATGGGGAAGGACATGTCATCGTTGATGATTTTCAACAATTTGCACACAAATGGAAAACAAGTCATTCAAGACGAGAAGAAAAAATGAGCCGGAAAGTAAGGTAGTAAGTGTACGTACCTCTTGTACACCAAGCAACATATCCCTTAACGCAAGACCCGTGAGGTCCTCGCCAGACGCAGCGAGCAAGAGGTCCGGCTGGTCCACAATCAGAACCGTCTTCGCATCCGCCGTGGACACATCGGATATCGCGCCGTCCAGCTCGCGCTGGATATCAGCTAGCCTTGCCCCGCGGATAATCCTCCGACCTTTGGGCGTCGCCGTCGTCGGCGGCGCCTGGTGAGGGGAGGAGAACAACCCACTCAGCCCGTCCACGAAGACGAATTTGCCGCTTCTTCCCAGCCCTTCTAGGTCGAGGCCCTGTGGTGCACGGTTAGTATTGTTTCATTAGACTCGAATGTGGCTGAGTGCTGGCAAGCGAAACAAGTGGTGACTGAAAAAGTCTCATTGAAAATCTCATCGATGGAGGGGTTGGAACTTCGAGTGAGGGGCAATTCTTTTCAGCAAGACGCGGGAAGAAACAAACAGACCAATCTCCCAGCGCCTTCCTTCCAAAACGCAAAATCTCTCATGAAGCTAACGAGAACGACACGGACATCCTCGCTCTGCAATGCAGAGGCGGTCCCTTCCTCGGCAGCGGCGTTGAGTTTCCTGAGGTACGTGTACAGGTACCGCAGGACGAGCCAGTTGGTGCTGGCGCCGAGGACGCTGGTGAGCAGGATCTGAGCGTATTCGGACGGGAGGGCGAGGTAGCTCTCCAGTAGGTGCGGTATCCTCGTCGCCATTTTCTCATCCGCGTATGATCTTGTGTGTAAATTCTGTATGGGACAGACACTTGGTTGTTATGGTCATGTAAGTGAAGGCCTCACTTGAAGTCAGTAGAGTCATTGTGCTATTTTCCATTGCGTCTGGGTGTGGTGGGGCTCTTTTGGCAGTGTCGGGAGTGGGTTGGCACTGTGTTAGACTGGACCTCTCATCAAAGCTGACCCTGAAATGAAGGTCCTCCTGTCGCCGTCATGAGCTTCGCATTTTGATCATTTGCCCTTTCAAGTTAAAAATAGTTTGATATCTCTTTGCCTTGGTTCAAGATTCGTGCGCTTCAAATGCGGTTTCAGAATGCTCGGGAATCGATCTAGAGAATCAAGCCTAGTCCATTTGATCAATACTTTTGGAACTTATCATGATTCTAGTTAGTCTTACAGAGGCTGTTTGATTAACACAAAAGGTACCTTCACCTTGGATGAGTAGGTACCAGTTAAGGTGTGCAGTGCTATCTATCAGTGTATCGTTCATCGAAGTCTTGGTCTTGGCGTGCCAGTCCCTAAAACTAGGTAGAAAATGGGAGTGAATATTATCGCCAACACAACAAAAGCAAAAAAATTCCGAAACCGAGAATCGAACTCGGGGCTATGCCTAACCTCTCACTAAAATGAGAGGGCATCATGTTGGCCACTACACCATATCGGATTGGATAAAATTTCTTTACAGCAAAGGAGAATAAAAATGGTGGGCGACGTGACTGGCGGGATGCCAGGTGGATCTGGGGATACTTTTCGTAAACTTCGACGCAAGTCGTAGCACATCGGAACAAAGTCCAATGTCATGAAGTTAATCTCATAGTCTATTGTGCTGCTTATAGTGTGTATACTTTCAGCGTGGAAGACCCAATACGTGTCATTGTCGTTTGTGTGAGGTGAGACGGTTGGAGCAGAAAAGCTCATTTGCGTCTGGTTACCACCTTACAGGTGTCTGCGGTACAGGACGAGCCGAGAACTTCAAGGTTTGAGAACACTTATGGAGAAGGAAGTTCCTCTACTTTCAAATAGACGAGCTTTTCCTGCCTTCATCGTCTGCGGAGGGCTCTAATCATCTCCGATCGTTCTTGACCCGACCTCTCTGGCTTCTACCTTACTTGTGAACCTTTGCCAATTTACCTCTTTGTTCATATTCTATGCTCTTCGCCTGACAATCTTATTGTTCTATCCACCACTCTCACATACTCGTGTGACATGATCGCTTCTTGAGCTGGCGCACATACTCAAACAAGACGTTATTCATCATACATCATGTCATGCTCACACGACAATCTCCGTGCTGATATCAGGCAATATGGTCCGGGGAAGAAGCTCACACTGTTCCCTCACTCGCCGCCAGATCCCCATGGTCGCTCGACCTACAAAGTCCCAGATGGCCTCAAAGGGAAAAAAGGATCCTCTCAGAGCGAGAGGAACCTATGTCCATGACTGCTCTTTGCTTCGACAAAGACAACTAACCTCACCTACTCGACACAAGCCAGCACAACGATCCGGCCAACAACTTAGGCGTCGAGATCATAGAGCGCCTTTCCAACGGCAGCGATGGCGATAACCAAGTGCTCTTGGTCAGGGTTTTTCACAAACCTGTGACCGACCTCAAATTCACCGTTCCCGACACCCAAGAAATTGTGGTCGTCAAGATCTTTGACCCCCTCTTCAACCCGGAGGATGCAGAAGAAGGCCCTTGGAAGGTGGCCTCCAGGGCCGACATGAAACTTAGCCGCGAGGCTGGTGCATACAAGGAATTGCACAAGAACAACCTGACTGGCTATCCCCGTCTCGCTCCTCAGTACTGCGGCTGTTGGACGACCCGTCTTATGAGCTACTCTCCAGACTTCGAGGGAGTGACGCGACATGTAGGCCTCGTGCTTCTGGAGTACATTTAGGGAACGAGCATCCGAGACCTATGCGGCCACGATGATGATGAGGTCCTGATCCCTCAGAGAGGACGAATCTGCTTAGACTGCGACGGCCCCGACTCATCTAATTTTGGCCAAGAGAAACGCTTGGATATATTAGCGCTACTAGTAGCTGGGGTTGTCGAACAGGTATACAAAGGAGTCTGGCACGAGTACGTGGATCCTGAGAACGTACTCGTTACCATGCGGAACAGGTCAGCCATCCTCGAGACGCCTAGAGTTTCCCTCATCGCCTACGACATCTGCACGATCGATTCCAAGTGCAAGAAACCCGTCAATAGATGGTCGCGGTATCCTCACCCTCCGCATCCGACCAAATGTTTCGACCTTGCTAGGCTATACGGATTTGGTGGCTGGTGGCCACTCGATTGGGAAAAAGGCAAAGGTGATAAGCACTTCGAGGATTGGCTGATTGAACGTTTCGGACCACACGATTCTGAGAAGTATTCCTACAATTGCTTATACACCAAAGAATGGCTGAAGCGGGAGAGAGAGATCGCTAGGGAGAAAGCAAGAAGAAAGAAGGCCAAGGAAAAGAAGAAGGCGAAGGCGAAGGAGAAAAGGGCGAGGGCGAAGGAGAGGAGGAAGGCGAAGAAGGCTTTCGCAGAGAAGATAGGGATGGAGAGGGAAGCAAAGCACGCCTGAGCTCGCCTATCAACGCGCTGAAAATCCTTTTCATAAAGCCCCCAGGCATCCTCTTCATCGGGGTTTTAACAGCAGCCTAGATGGAAGCAGTGAGAGCGGGACAAGTTGTGCAAGAACACGAGGGCGAGGAGTCTCGTGGAGAGACAATGCATGGTACAGATGGGCAGTCATCATAGGTTACCAATAGTTCTATAGATAGCAATGCATCACAGGCTACTACTGATAGCTCCCGCGAAGTTAATAATTCGCCAGAGTCTCGTCCCAGAAGGCATTGATAACGTACTAGGTCACGGCGGAGTTTGGTTAGGGACGGACTTTCAACGGGCGTGAGTGATCTTTCAGGAGATTCGTTTCCTATTGAACATAACTAGGGGGTTAATGCCTCTCAAGGGCCACTTTGCTCATTGTGGTGGTTTTCTTTGTAGTCAAATCGAGTGCAAAGGATTACTTTCTCTCTTCAATTCCGTGAAGTGAAGCTGTACATCTCCTAAGGTAGGACCCAGAGTCTCTGCTGAAATTGCTCCCAGTTCTGCCTAATGGGCTGTGGTGCACGCACGTATGAACAAGGTTATTTTGGAAGGTGTTGGATGATTACTCGTGTTTGATGTGATGCTAGAGTATGAATGAAATGGTGACTTATAACCATCCACTTTTATGTGTTCCTGTGCTTGTTCTAGCATCTTTGTAGGGAGGGTACCCAGAGTTTATGACCTAAGATGCCGCAGAATGCTTGAATTTAAGCTTAGTCTGTTGGCGCTGGATACTTGACCTACCCATAAGGTTTTGGCCCCTCTGCCGTGAGAGTTTTGCGGGAGGTCTAATTTTGCTGATCAGGATTTTGGGGGTAAAATATTTCGAGATGGAATTCATTGGAGTTTTTTTGCGCAGGACTATCATCTTTTCACGGATGAGCTTATATTGCCATCATGTTATCAGCGCTTGAGGAAGAGTTCAGAACGGTAAAAACATTTCAAGTTTGATGGTAACGCGAGTCGCTAGTCTATCGCCAAATACGCATATATCTGTTTCGAGAAAGAAAAAGGAGGCGTACATCTTCCGCCTTCGCCAGTTGAATAGAGGATGGGTCGAATTCGCTTGGTTTAGAAGCACCGAGATGCGCCTGCGTCTCGAGGTGTTTTATATACAGTGTGCTTGCGTAGCTTAGTTACAGCAGCAGACCTATCAAGTAATCAAACGTATTAGAACATCGTTTCCCTTTTCACGTTCTGTTGCGAGTCAAGGCAACAAGAGGAAAGGGGAGGGCTGTTACCTGTCCGCCACGACCAGACTTGGAATTGCTGCAGCACTTAAGCGCGGAGCAGCTCTCGCCCTTGTCGCCGCCCTTGGAGCACGTTCCCGCCTTTGCGCATTGGCGGGTCTCGAGGAGGGAGGGGAGGTTGACGGAGTCGAGGTTGCTTGGGACGGCGATGGCGAGGGTGGCGAAGAGGGCCATGAGAACTGCTGAGGCGCGCATCTTGGCTGTGGGAGGTATTGTTTTGTTTATGGATTTATGGGTGTGGTAAGCCGCGTTAGGATTGATGAAGAAAGAGTGATTACAAGTCTGATTATATTGTGTAGAGAACGATGCTGGATGTTGATGGCTGGGAGGACGAAAGTCGAGGGATTCACGGCGAGTTATATATCACTCTACCTCGATCGACCACCCACGCGTGGTTTGCGATCGACTCGCATCGTCTCATGGGAGTCACCCACGCACCCAGCCGCAGACGGGTGAGAACGTTTGACAATCCTTAGGCGAGAACCGAATCCAGACTGCTGGGTGAACCGGTCCCGCTCGTTTGGGGCCCGTCTGGTCTGGTCTGGTCTGGTCTGATGTCGTGCTGACTTACCGTCTGGGAGATCCGGAGTACCTGAGCTGTCTGTATGCCTTGGACGGGGACGTGTTCAACAATGAGTCGGTGTGCCTGCCCTCTGGATCATCATCATACCCCTTGTTCGAGATGAACCGCGCATGAAGAAAGTCCGACTTGTTCGGAAGGCATCACGAGTGTCACGAGTCAATATTCCTTCCTTCTGGATAGTATCTTGGAGAGGGACTTTGAAAAGTCTCCGGGCGTTTTGGTAGCTGGGTATCCTGATCGTCTCGTGAGGCAAGTGAGGCCCTTCCCAAGATTTGGTAGAAGTGAGTTGGTTGACATGACTTGACGCGCGCGTAGGTCTCGTTTCAAGGCATCCTGGAAAGTGAGGGTTTGAGTCAAGATGCCGCGTGGTAGGCCTTGTTCCTGACGTGTGGGAAGCCAGGCGCCTTGCACGCGCGCCCACAAAGGAAAAAGAAACCTGTAATTAAGAACGGGAAAAAGCAGGGGTGGGGTGTTCATTCTTTTATTTTTGGAATTGGTATCATTGAGTCGTCTGATGGTTGTGTTGTCTTTTTCCGACGGACTTTGTTGTGACTGACTGGTCTGATGTTTTTGGCATTTAGACTTTAGCCGTCAAAACAAGTATGCTTCGTCGGCCTCCAGCTCTCACTTGCCTGTGTATTCTTGGTACATCGTTCTGATCGGATAATGCTGCCGTAGGCATGCACATACCATCATCGGCGAAACGGCATTGTGCGTGTTTGGGGGAAAGGGACCTGTTGGGGCTCTGCCTACAGATGGATATCTGAATCGCACTCCGCCCTTGGCGAAGATCGTTCATGATTGATGGATGGTCTAGATGCTACATCGCACCGATTCTCGTCGGTTCAACAAAGAGACGCGGGATACACCTAGATGTTGTCGGTCAATGAATTCGGCGTTCTCTCAGGCTCTTCCGTGGCCATTGCCGCATCAGGTAGTTGCTACTAACAAACGGCGCGTCTTACTGGTTCGATGAGAGTTCCATGCGACAGGGGTTTGCTCCCCCACCGAACGAGGAACGCCAACGATTACTGAGGGGAAAAAAGAACATATCCGTAGACTTTCACATCTGTGCCCATGTCTGACGGGGACACTAGAACATTGTTCCGATTCTGTAATTGCAGTCTCGATGATGGGATTACCCAGATGGCTTATTACGTGGAGACCACCGGCGGATGACCAGACCACATGCCTCAGCTCTCTGACAAAGTCCGAATGTCGCCCCGGGGAGGCAGACCCGCTATTTACGGCATTGCCCGTTTCTAGAATGAGTCTCTCGTCTCGGGTTTCCCTGCATCAGCCGGAATTACACCGCCCAGGGGGGGAGGGTAAACGTCTCAGTTTCACGTTGTAAAATTTAAACTTTTATTGGCTTTGAATTTTCCCGCCGCTAGGAATTCAACGAAGGCGGGAAGCATATTTTGGGTTGAGAAGGAATCAGATGGGTCGTGTTCATGCACGATCAGCGTATCTTTTTCTCCCTCTGTTTTTCCGTCTGGAGTCTTCAAGGCTTAGGCAAATCTCGATGCTTCCGAACACACCGAACCGGGCCACTCCTCTCAGCTTACGGAGACGGGAGATGTACACTTGCTTTATTCTTCATCTTCACCAACACGGATCCAGCGATGGACTGGCGTTCCACTCGATTATTTAGTTAAAGTACTTCGTACTAGTCAAATTTTCCTAAGCCCATTCCACAAGACAGTCATAATGCCCTCACCCGTGATGATAGAAACAAGCGAAACCCTCGCTCAAATCTATCATACAATTCATCTCAGACCAACATTCCCCCGTAACTTGAACAACAGGCCTCCCTCGAAACCTTTACGCTGGAGTACTATCCCGCATAAAGCATGGAAAATGCGCAGCCCCATCATCCCATCCCCCTTCAGCTATCCCACTGTTATCTTGTCAGCATACTTGAATCATATCCATTGCCAACGGAGCGAAGTACCTCACGAAAGTGCTTGAAGCATCTCAAGAGGTAGCCAATGAAGTTGAGGCAAAACTCTCCGCGCTTCTCGCTCGTCGCGATGCGCATGACTCCAGTTCCGGCAGCGATCCGACCCGCCACCGTCGACTCTTTAGCCATGTCTGGGCATTCCATCGTGATTTGGCAGTTTATGTTGCCGATAGTGATCTCGGGCAAACCCGTCACGGCAAGGTATACGACTCCGTATTTGACCAAGTAGGCCATGGCCGTCGGGAGGTTTGAGCCGGGACTTGGAGTCTTGAAATCCTTGATGATGCAGTCTCTCTCTTCCCAGTTCTGAAAACGTTCACTTTAGTCGTCATCAACGTCGTCGTCTTCGCTATCGTCGTTCTCATCATCGTCATCCTCGTCATAGTCGTCATCGTCTTCGTCCGAAGAATCGTCTTCATCTTCTCTATCGGACGGATCGTCTTGGTCTATAGGTACTCCATCCAATGGCTCATCTCCCTCATTCTACCAGAACCATGGGCGCAATGCCACCTGAAGTCCCTCCATAGCCATGAAGTCATATGATCCAAGGATTCGGGGTTCATGCTGATCATCACTCTCGAAGGGCTCCACGATCTGAATATCGGGTCGAAACGGGCGAGTAAACCCGGGCATGTGATTCTGGAGAACCCAGAACTGCCTGCCATTGATGATTTCCATCGCATGGTTGAGAACATCCATGACGGGGCAGATGACGTGGATTCGAAGGACATACACCGCCGTCTTCCTGTCGAAACTCATCAGAGACACCGAAGTGTCCTTTCTTAGCCAGGGATGATGCTGCAGCTCGCCGAACTGGCCCTCGAGACCCTAAATCATCTCGATCGCCAATCTCTGGTGCTCGTCATAGTCGACGCGGACAATTCGTTCGGGAAGCGAACGGGATCGAATCCACCTGCTTGGCTTGAAAAGCATTCGCTCCCGACTAGGCGGCCTGTATCCGGGATAGATGATCTGGTACCATGGCGGCACAGGATGCACATGGTACTCGGGCCAGTCTTCCTTCTGGATTATGGCTTGGACGAGCCGGGGGTAAGGATTGAATGTCCTCGTATTTGGCGTTTCGACCTGTAGTGGGTGAAGAGAAAAATGAGCTTGAAGATGAGATCAAAGGCCAGTGGTGCGATGGCGGGAAAATAAGGAACAACCAAGCAATCGTACATACGTCCTTTTTCCCGTTAGTCCGATGGAATTTTTTGTCGCGACTTTGGTACGAAGCTAGACTGACGTGATGAAATCGTCTTTGCCGGTGGGCGGGAGTAAGGAAGGAAGACGAGAAATTCTATGGACCGCAGTGGGAAAAGAAAAAAAGAAGAAGAATTTTCAGAAAGCCCAAGGTGAAGTCTGATACCATGACCAGACCCTCTCTGGCCTGAGGTTTTGGGACTGAACAAGATGAATATATCGCGGGTTGAATATACAGACAGGACCAGGCACGTACCGGCCCAGTCCAACGAGGCCGGTTGCCCACTGATAATCACCAGCGACATGCAGACTTTCGCTCAATGAATCGCTCTAGCCAAGCAAGGTCAGCGAAGTCTCCCAAGAACCTGGTGCTGGATCTTCCTGCATTCATTGTTCTACTGTTCCCATCCCTCAGGCACCTAAGCTCGCCTGAACGCCCGATACCAGTAGTAAAAGCTGGGTACTCGGGTTGTCGCCTCTGCCCTCTTACGCTACCGAAGTAAGGTACGTTATATCTTACCTTACCTTGGATAGCACACAAGGTATTCATTCTGCCAGGCCAAAGAGTACCTACCAGTGGTTAATTGCGCTAGATAGGGTAGTTTACCCAAGTTTTCGAGTCCTCCCAGTCCATTCAATACAAGCAAGACACAATATCGCGTTCCTCTCCCGTGCGACACGTGCGAAAACAGACCGCGAAGGCAGGAATGTCATGTCCAAAGATGTACTGCTTCTTAGATCACTCATGCAGTCAATAGATATGTTGTTGTTAAAGAAACTTTTTAAGATGAACGAAAGTTTGGAACTACAAGCCCAACTACATGTTACATATACGAAGCCATACGAAAAAACATGGTTCATCTACCGCAGACGCCGCGCCCAAGCAAAGTGGTATTTTGGTCTTCATCGTCCATTCCAAGCATTCTTCACATACTCAAACTACACCTATTAAGGCCACCAACAAACAGAAGCTTTGCGATACAAGCTGTCCCAGCTGTCTGTCTCGGAAAAGGACACACTTAAAAGTATCCATGCTTTGGGATGGCAACAAAGATGGCAGTGAAAACACCGCCAACGAGTACGGCACATAGCATTGCCTGAAGGAAGATGGTATCCTGGATGGTGCGCAGAGCAGGCTCCTCAATCCACACCTCGCGGTCAAAGATCTTGCGGACAATGTTGCGCTTCTCATACTTGATGACCCAAGGCTCCGACTCATAGCTGTTGTTAGATCCAAACGTGTCGAAGGAAGTTTTGCGGTCGTCATTCTCCTCGTCCACGAAGAGCTCCCAGGGACGAACGTGACGATGGTGCATACCGTGTAGGACAACACACATGCCCTTGTAGGCTGCGACCAAGGTAGAAATTCCCAGAACCCATCCGATAGCAGCTAGTGCTCGCCATCCGCGGCCGGCGCGGCTGAGAGTAATCAAGATGGCGACGACAAAGGCGATGGCAATGAGACCAACACCAAGAGCCCGGGCGAAGAAGACGCGAGCGGGGTTACCGTTGCAGATGGACCAACGAATGAAGTTGGGGTGAGCCTGCTGGCGGAGAGAGTTCTCAATTACTTTAATGGCCATGCGACAGGCCGTAGGATGGGTAGTGTACGCGAAGGCGTGAAGAGTGGCGTCACGTTCCTTGGCCGAGAGGTTGAGTTGTCGCGGCGCGCCCTCCATAATGTACGTGGCGATAACACGGTCAATCTCTTCACGGAAAGGCTGGATGGTGACTAAAATCCGTCAGCATGTACCTTGAAGCCCCCAAGTCTGACAACTTACAAGGCTGCTTGGCACCCACGGCCGCGAATGCATCACTGGCCTGAGAGCGGTACGAATCGGCATTCGACACGCCTTGAGACCCCGTGTAAACTGAGCCTTCGTAGTCGTTTGGGGTACGTGGAGGGGTGTGGAATGGGTCGCTGGAGTCTTGCACGATGCCGCTCGTGGCACCCTTCTTCTCGAAATCGGTTCCCTTGAATATCTCTTGGCCGGGCTTCTTGCGCATCTTCTGTGACTTTTCCTTGTTCATGCGTTGAAGCAAGTCAGTCTCCATGGCTTCGGTCCACTCGGGGGCGAGAGACATGTCAGACGTCTTTGCTTCCCCAAAACGCTTCTGGAAGTCCCGGTGCCAGAGGAAGAATTGAAGGTTTTCCGCCGCATGCTCAATGTAGATCAGGTAATTCATGAAGTCACGCACAGTACAAGGCTACCAGGTCAGTACTTTGGATAGTATCAAAGTCATGAGTGCAACCTACAGGGCATGTGCCACCGTTGATAATCTTGTCAAAAGTGAGCGACTCTGGGATGCCCTGCAACTTTCCAGAATTGCCGGAGCGCAAGGATGAGGAGGTGTTGCTCTGCTTTTCATCGCCACTGTCGGATACGTCTGAAGTGCTCTCGCGGGCTGAGCTGGTGTTGCTGACGTATACCGGTCGGCGGTAGGTGAGAGGTAGAAGACCCATAGTTGGATGTTTGATAGAGGTGACACTTCGTGTCACCGTCTTGTTGACAGTAGATGGAGAAGCGAATGGAGTAGGTGATCTTAGGTTCTAGGTTGTAGGACAGTGAGGATGGGTGAATGCTCAGAAACCTTTGATCAAAAGAGGCCGCCGTGAGGTTGTAGTAAATAGGTCCGGGAATGACGTTCCACAAGTAAGACCGGACAAAGTTAAGGGAAAGAGAGTGGTGTTTGGCTTAAGATAGGGTTGGAACGAACTACAAGCTACTGCACGGTGAAGAAAAGTGCTCGCGTTGCGGGAGGGGTGGAAGGGGATGGGAGTAGGGAAGAACACAACTAAGCTTGAGAATGAAAGAATGAGGGACCCGGTCGAGGGCACTGGTAGACTGATATAGCAGTGAGAGGAGAAACGCAGGCGTAGGCGCAGGCGTGCCTGTCAACCCGCGCCCAGATATCTCGAGAGTCAAGGGCTGATGGGCAGGGCCAGTACGATTGCCAGACCCCACACACATTTCGACGGAAAGACTACTTTATTTGGCCATGCCTGGCTTCCGTTGACGGAGAGGGCTGAAGCTGGGCCAATCCAGAAAGCGCGAAATCGACCCGTGGCCGGGGTCCATGTGGGACACTGGGACTTGGGATGGGTGAGGCGTCCAGACGTTTGTTGTTTCCTGGCGGAATGCGGACGGGTGGAAACGACATGGTGGGTAGGGATGTGCTTTCTTCTCGGACTTGCTTGGTGATGCTGATATTGAAGGCACGCTTGGCAGGCATGGAGGACGACGCAGTAGGAATAGCGCACCCGCGTAAGGGTGGAGGCGATGTACTGTGTAGTATGTATCTATATCTCTGGATTTCTGTACGCAGCATGAGGTAGTAGGACGTTGAGAGACATGGCCATGGCCCGTGGACGCATGTGGGTGTGAAGGAGAAGAAGCAAGAATGGCGCTAGCAACCGCATCGTTGAATCTCGAAGTTTACGCAGCGAGCCCTTGCTTACCTGGCCAGGCCTTGCGTTGTTGTGGCCATTATTTTGGACAACACGAAAGATCACAGCGCTCTGCGTTTGCGAGGCGAAGGCCCAAACTGCTATGCTATGGTGACAAGATTAATGAGGACTCAGTGAGCCAAAAAGCAGTGCAACGACGTGACCAAGTGACCGGGCGCCTCAAGAGCGCCCATTCTCCCATTGCAGACCTGCTACCAAGCCAGAGGTGACGAACCTCCCGAAACAGCAAAATTGCTGTCGATCTCCTTTGCATCGTGGCGATTGGTTGAGTGGCCCGGCACTAGCATCGAGGCTTTCCTCAACGAGTAAGGAGCGTCTGTTCGGCTGAGACAGTTCACAGCTGGGCTTGTCTTCCCTGCTTGGGGAAAATCGACGCTGCAGAGTGCGGAATTGGCTGGTAATAGATACGGATACCTGCTGTGTGGGAGATTGCAGGAGATCGGCAAGAAGAGAGCGTGGAGAAGAGACCCAAAGGCCTGGAATTTTCTCAGTCCGGCGTGACAATGATTGGTGATGTCTTTGGTGAGAACCACCAAATATTCATTGAGGGGTGATTCCGCCTCAAGTTGTTGCAGCAACAAGCTGGTATGACAACAGCCAGCATCAGAAGTTGGTTCAAAGGTCGAGCGAGGCATGGGCGAATCCTTAGGACTCGTTTCTCTCTTTTCTCCAGAGGACCGGACCCGGGACACGGCGGCGTAGGAGGCGGCGGTCAGGGGTGGACCATGACGAGATCAGGCGGCGCCTCCCACATCAAGCCTCCAAGATTCAGACTTTCCGTCGTCTTGTGGTGGACGGAGAAGAGGTCCGGGTCCGAGAGGTGGAGGCAGAACTCCCTTTGTTCTCTATGGCACTGAGTTCATCAACGGATGAGGCGAAGGCTTCCGGACTGGGGAGACTGTAGTCCGTTAGTCCCCATCCCCAAAGCCCTTCAAGTCGGATCACGAAGGGTGCTAATAGGTAACGTAACGTGGTCCAAGTCGAGTTTGACTTTGGGTCTAGGTGTGCCACTCGCCTAACGGCGCTCAGGAGAAACTGATCCGGCGTAGGGCAGGCTGTGAACAGATGGTGGAGCTACGACACAAGCGCGGGATTGCTGAGAGGCGTGTCTGGAGTGGGCTTGCTTGATGAGAAGTATCCGTTGGTAGGTATCGACCGGGGGAAGAGAGAGAAGACGAAGATGAGAAGAAGAAACACAAAAATGCTGCCCAGGTGGATGGGGGGAGAAAAAAGAGGCAAGGGGTTGATGAAGGTACCTATTACTCTGTAGTCTGTACTGCGTACTACTCCAGGCTGGAAGGTGCCTTCCTTACTGGCAGGGTCCCCTGCATCGATGGTCTGTGCGCGTTCCTTTCCCGAGATCGATTGACGATGTCTCCTTCCTTCCCTCTCTGCGTTTGTGCCTTGTTCGCACCTGCCATATGTATTTGATGAAGCGACTTCCATTTGTGAGGCAATGAACCTTGCCCGGGGAACTGAGGTCGAGTATTCGACTTATGTAATATCTCCGTCTGAATTCCTTCTCTTCGCAAACTTCATCAGACGAGATTACTTACACGAATGCTCTCCACCAAGGTCGGCATCCTTTATTAACAAGCCCCAAACAGCATTTGCTTTTTGCCATATTATCACCTCATGCTATTACTTCCCTGCCTGGTCACCATGCTTGCCAAGGTCCTCATCAGCGAACCAGATTGGTAAGGCGAGAAGCAGTATCGGGACGACTAGCCTCTTCAGCCCATCCCTGCGAAGAATGTGAAGAAGAGCCCGAAGGGGCGTCTTGATCAAGTCTTCTCGCCAATCGATAAATCTATCCCTGCTTACGTCAACGGCCAATCAAACCCTCGCTCAACCACCATCTTATCCTAGCTCCTCACCTTCACCCACCGTCACCCACCAGCCAGACAAGTCCAGCCAGCCTGAGGAAACCTCACATCCAGCCTGTCACACCAGGTCACCAAAAGCCTTGGTGGATTACCTCGGCTTGTTCGGGCTCGCTAGGGTCGCCGACCATGGTCGCCGTAGCCGTCGCCCCGAGGTCAGTCTTTGTGTGTCCTATGTCCATCCCCCCTCCCAGAATTGTGCCAACCGTCTTCCGAGCAACGCCTTTTTCTGTGTAGCGTCGATGAGCCAGCTATCCGATCGAGCCAGCTTTCAGGAGCTTTACTTTGCGAATCGGCCGCCTGTAACATTGGCAAAGACCACATCTTACTCCAACCTCACCTTCGCACCGTCGCACCGCAGCAGCTGTCGATGCAAAGGACAAGATAGCATCCCATTCACGTCGGAAAGCTGAAGATACCCCTGGTGCAAATCATTGCATTCATCTCGAAGCGACCCCCCTCAAGCGGGACGGATGGCCCAACGAGTGGCCAGAACCCCTGTGCCGAGCCAAACGTCACACGTTACCCGATTGCGACGCTGCTTCCGGCCCGAGAGGAACAGATCGCCGGACATGTTTCCAGCTGCGTCCTGTACAAGGTATTGGCTCGCCTATCGTGCCGCAAAATGACCATTGTGTGTATCTGTGACTGCTCTGAACGCGGCGTGATCATATGCAAGCTGATGGTTTCCGTCACAGCCCGTCTCTGCTCTTCTTGTATGGCTTCTGGCAAAGCTACGCTTCTTGATATCCTCAAAAGCCTTGACTGGAGCGATGACAGATTCGGGCAATCTTATATAACAACACGAATCGTCGGCCGAGGTTGATGCTTTGCTCATTGCCATCATCTCGTCCTCGCGCAGGGGCCTCCCCATTCCCCTAGCTCTCGCATTGTCTCTCTACTCCGTAGTTTCCATAACCGCTTCTTTGGATCGTGGCGTCAAGCTCCTGTCATTCGCTTGGCGACCTGGACCACACGACGCTAAATCTCCCCTACGTCTTTCTACCCGAAACCAAGAAAATTCTCTAGCGTGGACCATGGGTTAAGTCGCCTTCCTATCTTCGATGGCAAGATGCGTTCCATTAACGTAGGGAGCGTGCCGGCCATGCGCTGACCCAAGGATGTCGACCTAGGCGCGTGGGTGCTTGGTTCCCAAAATTAGAGGGGACAGTCACTCGCACTTCTCGCCTCATGGAGAACTCGCGAATTCCTCGTGGGCGGCTTGCTAGTCAAATTTATGCCTGTTTTTGGTATCCTGAACATTGGCCTCCTATGGAATGTCTTGACAAGATATGTGCCTGTCTCGCTCCTCATCTGATTGGAAACATGTCCACAAACCTCGAGACACGATGGCACATTTTCGACAGTGATTTTACACTAGATGAATTTATCCAATAGACGCACAGGTGTCGGCCGAGAGGATTCTGGACTTATTACTTCGAGACAAAAGCCCTGCCGCCAGGAACACGGGCCATACACGACCATAGTACGAGCCATTGGAAGTCATGCCCTACTAGTCTCCGGGAAGGATTCGGATCTTTGTAGTTCAGACAATGTCTTGGCCCAGAGGACAGATTTTACCAGTGCCCCTCAGAGATATCAACGGTATTCACATCAACGCCATCCCGGAACCACCTCTCTGTGTCTTCAATTTTGACATCGTTCCCGCTCATCTGTCTCTTGCGCATAAGCCCGTTCTCGGCAAAGGTCCAGTCCTCGAGACCATACGTCCGCCACCACTGACCCGACTCATCATGCCACTCGTACCAAAATTGGACGGCAATCTGATTCCAATGGTCAGTGGTCTTTCAAAAGCGCAGCCACAGCTGCGGGGTCAACCGGTGACTCTGAGGGAGCATACCTTGTTATCGGTGAAGGCGAACAACTCCTTGCGCAGTCGGTAGCCATTCTCCTTCTCCCACTTCTTGGTCAGCCATTGCTCGATCTCATCTCGACCCTGCAGAAAAGTGTCTCTGTTGCGCCAGATGGAGTCGGGCGTGTAAGCCATCTTCACTTTTGCGGGGTTTCTGTGGCCATGTCAGTGGGCGTCTGCTCCAGCGGCCGGTGAGGGGCACGGACTTGGAGTTCCATCCATCCTGGGCCGCCTTCACCTTGATCCTTGCGGTTTCTTCGGTGAAGGGCGGGAATGGCGGCCTGGCTTCGTCCTGGCTGGCCATAATTCAAGCAATGCGATCTTTCCAAGTGATGATGTCTACTTAGAGTAATGAAGCTATTACCTTGGCCATGACAGCAGTTTTGAACATGTCAATCACGCTAGAAGAGGACACAAGCACCGGACAATGCAACCAATCACAGGCACAGGCTGCCGGGAGTTCGGCCTTTGTCAGCTGTCATCAGCGCCCTTGGCAAACACCGCGGGTTCTGTTCTTACGGAACGACGTCAGATGAGGCGCAAAAGTTTTGATTTTTCAACCTTTCAGCTCTAGTTGAGAAATTCCAATCTAGCTTTAGCATGATGAGTCTTTCACACATCGGATGTCTTTAGGAGAGAGCGCTACAGTGGCAAGCAAAGGCCGACGCCGGCACCGCTTCTGCCTCACCACACAGAGCCGCGCTGACATGCAGTTGCGGTCTGTCGTTGTGAACTAGGTACCGGACGATTGACTTTTCTGAGTCCCGGCAGCTGGTTCTTCAGACGATAAAGTTAGGCAAATCTAGACAAGCACATGCTCGCCGACTTTGTACCGTCTGCACGCCAACGACGACAACATCAGAAATCCCACGCCGCCCGGGTCTTGAGCACCCGCACCTCGCCATGATGACAAAAAGCTCCCATTGTCACAACCTCTTGGCACAGTAACTCCGAAGGACGTTGGTGGAAGGCCGACAGGCTGGATGCTCGGACGGCCGAGAGGGGCCCTTGTTCGCCTTCCCCCCACCGGGGGAGAGAGGCCGGGGATCGGAGCCCAAACGGACGCGGCATAAATTCCCGGTCTTGCGTCATGTCACTCTGTGGGCCGAAAAGGTGCGCATTTGCTGGTGTTATCAGAGTTCGAGGTACATGTCATCTATTCGTACCTCCCAAAAAAGGATCATCTGTCTGTTGTCACTTTGAACGCTGCTGTTATCTACTACCTACCTACCTTACCTTACCTTGAGCAGGGGAAAAAAGATACTTTGCATCTTTACATGGCTTTCCAACGCGAAAGCGGGCAAACAAAACAACTCTCCAGAGTTTCGAGACAAATCGAACCGTCGCGTCCTCTTGTTAGTGCAACGGTAGGTCCCCGTGGTCCGCACTTTTTTGCCCACTTGTATTTCGTCACAAAGATACTTTGCCTGTTGTGCTTGTGCCTGAGATGGTTGGCGGTGGTCCCAGGAAGGAGTGGCCGCCCCGCGGCTAAGGAGCGTAGTATCCGTATCTCAAATACAAATCATCACGAGCTCCACTTCCCTGGAAGCTCGCAGAATTGCGCCTGGGACCCTGACTCGGCGATCCCTCGATATCCCGCCCACCTACTAATTCGCCCTACCTTCCTTTCCTTTATCTGATCTTGTTTTTCCCTTCCTTCCATTCTTCAACAAACCACTCTACTGCCAATCCACTCTCAAATCTCCAACTTAACTCTCTCTTTCTTTACCAATTTTCAACCATCCCATATCAAATCATCAAAATGTCTGGTCTCAAGGTCGGCGAGCAGTTCCCCGAGGGCGTTGCCTTCCAGTACATCCCCCACCAGGAGGAGACTGCCGACTTCAAGGTCTGCGGTATCCCCATCAAGTACGACACCGCCAAGGGTAAGTCTCTCTCTATCAATTGAAGCATCACGAAAAGGAGATTCATAGCTAACTTCTCCCGTCCACACAGAGTTCAAGGACAAGAAGGTTGTCATCGTCTCCATCCCCGGTGCCTTCACTCCCACCTGCTCCGCCTCCCACCTGCCCGGCTACATTGAGCACAAGGACGAGCTCAAGGCCAAGGGTGTCGACCAGGTCATCTTCCTCGCCTACAACGACCCCTTTGTCATGTCCGGCTGGGGCAAGGCCAACAACATCAAGGACGACTTCATTGTGAGTTTTACCCGTCTCTGTCTTGCCGCTGCTGTTGCAATTTTTTTTCCCGGCGTGTTTTTCTTCAGCTAGCAGCTAGCTCTAGCTGTGCTGTACTGTTGCGTTGTGTTGTTTTACCCCTCCCCCTCTTTCCGTGGAGCTCACCCCTTCACCGACTCCGATAAACACAGCCCGCCCCCCACCCCCCACTCTGCCCCTCCTCAAGGGAGTGAGAAAAGAGTCTCAACATGATACCACGATACGCTCAAGTCGCCTCACCTGCGAACCTGCATTCGTATCCTCTCGTTACCACCTTTTGTCGCGCAATCTCACAAACACCGTCACAAGCAAGTATGAACTAACAACCCACTCCCCAGGTCTTCGCCTCCGACGCCAACGCCGCTTTCTCCACCTCCATCGGCTGGAACCACGGCGAGCGCACCGCCCGCTACGCCATCGTCATCGACCACGGCAAGGTCGTCTACGCCGAGAAGGAGACTGAGCTCCAGGGTCTCGAGGTCTCTGGCGCCGAGCCCGTTCTCAAGGCTCTTTAGAGAGTTGGTACCTTGTGCCACTTGAAGATTTAATGAATTTTTGCGTTGGGCGGATTCCTGTTTTTACATGATGAGAAATGCCTTTTGAGAAAACCAAGACATTGGTCTCTCCCTTTTATAGACAGAATATGGGGGAAAGAAAGGAAAACTTTTCCGACGACGCGTTTAGAACAAAAGCTCATATAGAATTTTGAACTTTCGTTAAACGAAGGCTTCCGCTTATAGAAATAGAGACAAACTGAATGGTTCATAAAACTCGATCACAATCATGTCCGAAGTGCGTGTACATTTCTTAGAAACTTGATAAGTAGACTTCATTTGATGGCTGTGATGGAAGCTGTTCGACAGGAACTACGTGTCACTATCAGATGCCTTTGGAGAACTCAGTAGGGCAGACGGACTTCGTCTCGGTATATGGGGCTCGGAGATGCGATATTGCCGCGAAGAGAGACGGTCCGGGCGGGGATAGGAAGGAATCGAAGGAGGAGGAAATGGTTATCTTTCCCCGACGCTGAATAGAGTGTTGTTGAATACGTTGACTTGGATTGATCTCCTACGCAGATATATGTTATACGGTCTTTACTCTATAGTACAAATAATGCGGGTAGGCTGAGGGTATTATGATTCGAGACGATGATGCATGGCAGTTACGGAGGCGTGCGTTTGATATGTACTTATGAGGCTAGTGATGGTATCAGTTTGGAACTTACCTTACCGGCTTGATGTAGTTGAGTGAGGACGAGGTTATGGATTGTTTGTCGATGATCGTCCTTATAGCGAATGGATGTATGGGGTTTATCTGCCTGTTGTGTAGTCATATTCTCCGTCGTTTAGATGATATATCTAGTAGATGAGCTCCGATGATGGGGCAAGCGCGAGCTAGAAGAATGAATCCCCCCAAAGTCATTGCGGGATAGGAGAAGGGCTTGAGCTTACAGGAACGTTTGTCATCGGCAGTAGGCTTCGAGTCCCCATTTTGAGCGCATGAAGCCGTGGAATCGAAGAAGTGTCACTGTCTTTCTACTCCTATTGAGGGGGTATATGATGTGGCAGCCACTTGGGGTGCGATATATTTGGTTGCGTGTTTCATGTAGCTTCGCTCTGTGAGCGACGAAGGAAAACAGACGGAAGTCTCGAGGGATGGGAAAGGTCGGCTTGGGGATGACACTCAGATCCCTCTAGGACACATCAGAGATAGTCCCTCACTCATGTCAAGCCCCAGGTATCACATCATCACATGGTACCAAACAAAAGAGAGGCTCAAGTCACCAAAGTAAGCAGAACTCAAGGATCAAAAACGTTGGTAAGAATCCCCCGTTGGGACAATTCCATGCAAATTCCGTGCTACCCGTGAGATTGTGTAGTTATAGAACCCCAAAGTCCCCGTTTCAAAGCACAATGAACCCTCGACTCCAATCAAGTTTTTTGAACCTGGTCGTATTGTGCCTTTCACCAATCGTTTGTTGTCAGAAGCGTTCGTTCCTTCTCTAAAAACGGTCCCCCTCACCAGCCGGAGGGTTGAAAGAAACCTAACCCTCGGCCGGGATTGGTTGATGCCGTTTCTGTCTTTGCTTCCCGCATGTCACACCAGCCTCACGCCGTCTCGACAGAGAAATGTTTTTACTCTTTTTTTATTTCATCATGTCAAGAGAAGAAAACCCATCACGAAACCCAAATTTTTCCCCAATCCTCGAAAAAGAGACTAGAAAAAAAGCTGTTTAACGGGTACGGGCCTGGACCTTGGGAGCGGCGCCCTTGGAGCCCTGCTTGGAGGCGATGGGGCCCTTCTTGCCACCGGCGGCGGCGGACTTGGCCTTCTCGGCCTTCTTGGCGGCGGCGTCGGCGTTCTTCTTGTCCTTGGACTCCTTGATGGCGGCGGCGCGGGCGGCGGAGCGGGCCTCGGGGCGCATGGAGCGCTTCTCCTTGATCACATCGAGGGAGGCACCGACGATGGCACGCTGGGCCTTGACGGTGCGGCGGGTGCGCTTCTTGGCGACCTCCTGTTGTGGGGGTCAGTCATCTGTTTTCTCGAAGGTCGAGGTTCGCGACGCGTGAAGGGGTTCGAGATATTGAAATCTCGAATGGGACCCCTGTGACAGCGTCGCGAATGGTTGGCACTCACCTCAGAGATACCCTTGCGGTGCTGGCGACGGTACAGAACGGTCCAGGCAATGCGGCGGGGGTTCTTGCGCTGGAGGAAGAGGGACTCGGACTTTCCGTTCTGGAAACGGAAGATCTTGGAGTCACCGCGGACGTAGAGCTTACCCTGTATTATCAGAGTCTCGTCAGCGTCTTGTTCCCATGTGTGGTTTTTGCCTTGGCCTCCTCCGTGAAGTCGTCTCCATGCAATCATCTTTCCTTTCCCCGTCGATCGATCGTCAGACCCCTGGCTTGTTCATCCATCCAAGTCGTTGCCTCTCTTGTCCCAACTCGTCCATCTGAGGTTGAGCTTCCTTACTGCCCAGCCATGCTTCAAACAGGTTCCTTCGATCGACGGGAGAAAAGATGATATCGGAAATGTAGGGAGGGGTGGGTGGCGTTGTAATCATCGTACCTTTCCAGGGTAGATTCTCTGTCCGGAGAACGTGTCGTCGTACGTGCGCATCTTGAGAAATCAGTCAGAAAAAGAATCCCTCTTGAATTTCGGAATATCCTCCTGTAATCGACCCTCAATTCGTTCTCTTCGTCTGGCCCAGCAAAGTTGTTCGTGGAAAGTGACTGTCTTTCGGGAATGGTGACGTTGCGTTGTATTGGGTAATCGCTAGGCCAGCAGTCGGGAGAAAAAATCGAGGGTCGACCGGACGAGGGGGTAATCTATTGAACGTACATTGGCGGTATTGAATGCGAACGTTGGCTGACTTGTCGATGAGGTCAAAGGGTTCGGGAAGGGGAGGGTAAGACCAGGCTGGCACTCTTCGCGAGATTCTACAATTTTCGACTCTGGTTCGGAAATTCGTCGTGGGAGGGTAGAATAGCCTAGTGGGCGTCAACCCTACGCGGACGGGACGAAAGAGTGGGCCCGCTTGGTGATGTACGTGTCACGTGCAGATAGCCATTACCGATACTGGTCGACTCGTGCTGCGCCACGTATTAGGTAGAGTGTAGTGAATTTGTGGCTTGAGTACTCCAGATGCCCCACTCTCAACTTCAAGTCGGGATGGGTGGACTGCAACACAGGTTCATGCTTCGGAGAAATGTCGAACGGATACCGGTGATGAAAAGTTGGCTGAGGGCGACGAGACCGCTCATTAGCAAATCTTGGCCGCTGAAAATGCCAGCCGATCCCGATGACATTGCAGATGTTGTCCTAGGGCAGTTCAAGAAACTACCTACAAAACGCAGGCCCCAGGTTAGAGACAATGGCCTACATGAATGGGTTCCCCTGAGCGGCATCGTCGCCGAGAAAGATGGTGTATTGACTTGTCTATCACTCGCGTAAGTAAGACGGTCATATATATGATACTCATAGGATGGTTCCGGATCGTGCAACTGGTAGTTGGTTCTTGCGGTACAAACTCCAGACGCTGGATCTCATCTTGCTTAATTCACAATATTCTATATGGACCACCCTCCTCGTAGCTTCCATGATCCGTAGCAATATCAGACATCATTATCTCATAAATCTCATCAATGACCAATTGGCTGACACCTACCGCAGAACGGGCATGAAGTGTCTCCCAGCCAACAAACTCCCCCTGGCAAAAGGAAACGCCCTCCACGACTGGCACGCCGAAGTCCTCGCCATCCGCGCCTTCAACCGCTACCTCCTGGACGAATGCGACACCCACTCGCAGGGCATCTCGCTCACCTCAGACATCATCACAAGACGTCCACCCTCCACCATCTCCCCTTCCTCGCCCCAACCCTTTGCAATCAGAGACGGCGTCACCCTACACATGTACTGCTCCGAAGCCCCCTGCGGCGACGCAAGCATGGAACTCACAATGGCCGCCCAAGAAGACGCATCACCCTGGGACGTGCCTCCGCCCCCATCCTCACCCGTCCCATCCGGCGTGACTCCTCCTTCCGCTCCCGCTCCCCAGACAACGGACACAACCCCCCTCCCAGGAAGAGCCTACTTCTCCCACCTAGGCATCGTCCGCCGCAAACCAGCCCGCGGCGACGCGCCCCCGACAGCCTCGAAATCCTGCTCCGACAAGCTCGCGCTCAAACAGTGCACCTCCCTCCTCGCCTCGCTGACGTCCCTGCTGATCCATCCACGCAACGCATACATCTCGTCCGTCATCCTCCCGGAATCGGAGTACTCCGCCACAGGTTGCGAGCGCGCCTTTTCAGAGAGAGGACGGATGAAGGCCGTGGCAGCGGGCGAAGCGGCGGGTTGGAGAGGCGGGTACCGGTTCTCGCCGTTCGAGGTGCGTACCACGTCTAGAGAGTTTGAGTTCTCGAAGCGAAGGGTTAGGGGGAAGGCTGGGGCGGAGAAGATTGCGGCGAGTAACCTCGCTGCTGTCTGGACGCGTGGTGGTGGCGTGGATGAGGGGACGATGGGCGGCGTGCTGCAAGGGCGGAAAGCGTTTGATGTCCGGGGCGCGAGCTTAGTTTCTAGGCGGAGGATGTGGGAGCTCGCGGCGGCGGTAGCGGAGCGGATGGCTGGAGAGGAAGAAGGTGGTGAAGACGATGAGGTTAGGAGTTTGTTGTGGCGGGCATTGGATGTTGATGCGTATGGCAAGGTCAAGGGCGGGGAGTTGCTTGCTTGTCGAAGGGAGGTCAAAGAGGCTGCGAGGAAGGTTGCGTTGGCGGGGTGGGTTGTTAATGTTGGGGATGAGGAGTTTGCGAGGTTGTAGGATGGGATTTCCTCACGGTGGCATGTAGGGTGAGAGGCACATGAGTGCGGCGCAATTGGAATATCATTTTGTTTCACTCCTCACATCTTGATCAACTCACCATCTCATCATCTTGTGAGTCTAAATCGTTGACTTTGTCGAGACCACAATACTGCGCAGTATGGACATGGACGATGAGCCTTAAGCGTCTCCCAAGAGCCTGACTTTACCACGTCCACGTACACGCACACAATCTCAACCGCCAGGAAACACATTGGGAGCGTCTTCGTATCGATCCATTTTTGCGTTGGAAGTCAAGTTTGTATCTCGTTAATTTTCCCATCCCTTAAAACCCACACACTCGTTCATAGATGATAGGCAATCCACGGAACCCAAGGACGGTTTCGATCAAATAAGTATCTCTCTTCTCCCTCGAACTCCCATGACAAAAAGTAGAAAGGTAGTCGCAGAGAGGTGGCACCGTTTGGTTTGGGAGCTTTTTTTCATTTATTGATCTTTTTTCGGCAAATTTTCATCCTCTGTTGTGAAGTATTTCGCCGCTTACTCGACCTTGCTCTCAAAGTTCTCACCCTCGACCAGGTCGGGAATGTCGTCCTCCTCACCGTCCTTGCCCTCCTTCTGCATGTTCTGGTAGCTCTCAGCGAGCTTGCGGAGCGAGGCGAGGGAGTCGGGGCCGAGCTGGTTGAGGATGCCGGGGACAAGCTCGGTGAGCTCCTTGTCCTCACCGTTGCCGTAGATGGCGAAGGTGTTGGCGGGGACGGCAGCGTGGACTGGAAGAGTTTCATCTTTAGCATACGTCCAAGTACTTCTTCGTGCGATGAGGGTATGGGAGGGTAGAAGAGCTATCCTCTGGTGCAAGGGCAAATGTGTATCGGGGGAGAAGGTGTGACGGTGATGGTGGTAGTTTGATGGTCATTTACCCTTGGGAGCAGCAAAGTGGATGACGTTGCCGTCAGACTTGAACATGTTGACCTCCTCAATGGCCTGGATGGGCTGGACGTTGAGCTTCTTCAGGGCAGCCTGGAGCTTCTTGTCGTCGGCGGCGGAGCGCGCGGGCGCACGCTTCATCTTGCGGCGGGGAGTGCCCTTGCCGCTATCGTCGGGCGAAGCATCGATACGTTAGTCATCATTTCCTCTTTGTAAACATATCGCGAATGGGCGGGTTCGGGAGTTGTGTTTGTATGCAATTTTGTCTTTGTTTTCTGGATATTTCGCGAAGTTCTCGATGAGGGAGAGGGTGTAGGGAAAAAATGAGGGGTCAATTTTCGGAGGTTCACACATACCCTGCGCATCGCGAATATTAGCTACCAATTTCGAAACCGACAGCATAACGACAGCATAGAGCAAAAAGACATTGACGCAAACGTACCGATACGCGCGGAGGCACCGAGCTTCTTGAGGCGTTCCTGAACGTCCGACATGGTGGGCAGATTGGCTCGAAAATTGACGAGTTTGGGGAGGGAGAGGGACGGTTTGGCGTGGTGGTTTTGCGGGTGGGGGAAAGGGAAGCAAGCTGATGCTGTGCGGTCGTCCTCAGGGCAATTAGCAAAAATGTGTGGTATGGAGGTGGGAAAAACCCGGGCGGGCAGCCGCCGGCCGACCCCCCTCAGGCGAGGACGGGAGCTACGACCACACGCATATTCCCACCCCCGCCCTCTTTCCTTTCCCTTCCCGTCCCGCCGTGTGTGCAGCGTCCGAGGGAAGTAAAATTTACTGAGGTGGGCAAACTACTCACCGTGATTCGTCTCTCGTTTGTCACACGTTTAATTATCTACCACAAGGCTGAAGCCGGCTCTGTCAGCTTTGCGTGATGAAGGTGATGCAATGATGGAGGTTTTGTGCGTGCCAAGAATTCCCTTCGCTTGCGGAAATAGTATGTGCCGAGGTACGTTCCTTTTTTCGACCTTACCGAGAGCTCACCGAGGAAGGTGGGGCCAGCTGAGCGATGAGCTTTTCGGCTTGCCCTCTCGAGTAGTGTTGAACGAGGTTGATTTTCTTCGTCAATGGCAATCACAGTCCCCTGACACAATGCATGTTGCCATATCTAGGTCGATTTTGATACAGCCATCCCCACAACGCAATACTGCTGCCGCGCAGTTTGTCAATTTCATTCAAATGTCATTGAGCCCTCAAACGCCTGAACGCAACCCTCAGAGGTCGGCATGGTATCTTTCGTTGTTATACAGCCATACATGGCATAATCCCAGACCCTTCGAGACCACATTGATATAGTACAGTCCTTCGCAGAGTGACGGGACATCAATCCAAGTCATCCGACATTCCCGACTCCTTGCGCATCGCCGCTTGCTGTGCCTTGAGATCTGCCTCTCTCCTCCTCTGCTCGTTCACGCGTGCTTGCTTTTGTCTCTCGATATCTTCGTCTCGCACCGTCCAGACTTTAACTTTGTTAGCTTCATGCTGAACCATGATCCCAACTTGTGGTAGGCATACTCGGCTTGTTCGACTTGGAGTATTCCTTCAGCTTCGTAACAAACTGGTCGAACTCCTCCTGCGTTTTTTCGCGGTTCGCAAGACTCCTCGCTTGCAGCTCGGGGTTGTATCTCTTAAAGAGCTCCTCTTCCGTCGGCGACACCCACATGGTGAAGGCCGGGCCTCCCACGCAAAAGATCCCGCCGCTGTGCCCATCTGTCAGCTCGCCATTCCCTGCAGACATTGAAGAGTCTCAACGTACCCAAGCAGCATCTTTCCCCACAACTTCCAATTCGTAGCCTTCTTTGTCGCCATGGTGATTGAGTTTGTGCGATGCAGCGAGATAGGAGATGGGCTGACGGTTTGGCGAAGCTCCGGCAATGGAGGCTTGAGTTCGGGACTTTGCGACACTGAGGCAACCCTCTCACAATCGATGACGAACCTGACGCGCTTGATTGGAGATCTACCAGTAGATACCCAATTTGGAAGGCGGTGGGAAGCTGCCGTCTCGTGCACCCTTAGGTAAGCTTGGACTCGGTGACTTATGGTGGTCCATTCGCTCTCTTGAGATGATGTGGCTAGTGCTCCCTGTGGGACATCAGCTTGCATCCGCATATTCTTAGACTGAAAGTTCAAGCACCAATACGAATAAGACTCGGGCTCGAGTCCGTTCGAAAGTGTGGCACACTACACCATCAACTTTCCATGATCGTCATAACCCACAGACCAGTTCTCATCTTCCCAGCACATCTCTGCAACCTCGTGGCGCAGGCGGAAGACCACATGTCCGAGGGGGCTGTGCTCACTGTCACCAACATCGAACAAAACGTTTGTGGTTGGACGATGCCATAACCTTTTTGGAGACAAGCAACGCTCCAGATCGACATGCAGGAACGCAAGAAAACGCTTCCCGTGCTCCCCTCCCCAATGACAAGACGAAATCGAGCACCGACCCTCGTGAGTTGCGGCAGGATATCCCCAGAAAGGGAGGCCACCTACGGTCCATCAGAAACCCATGTGCCGGCCAAGTCTTCAGTAGTGGACTGGCGACGACGGCGCAGCCGCCTTTCGATGTCAGTTACAATTTGTCTACTCTCTGTCGTTGTGGCGAAAAGAAATCAAAAGGCCTCCGTCTTCAGGGGCGTAGTGTCTTCCACGCGACTGAGGGCTTCCTGTGCATCGTGATTTGGCCGTTGAGGATTCGAGCCATGAACCCCACCTCACATGGAAACGCCGGCCTTGGCCGCTCAGCCCTTCCTTCGAGGCGGGAAAGAAAACGCTCTACTCCGAACGGGACGGAAGCTGACGAAATGCCTAACCCACCTCAGCGCATGCTTGGCCGCTTGGCCGTACGTTGACCGGGCCGAACGGCCTTCCTATTCGACCTTGGTTATTTCCACACTAGATGTGGTCGAGAAGTGGAGGCGACGAAGGCGAACGTCGTAAAGCAATACGATAGGGTAGAGGCCTCCTAAGCGTGACCAGAGAGGCTGATAGACTGTCGATGAATAGCAACACTGCAGAGACTTCGTCACAAGGACATCTAATCATTGCTCTTGAGTTCTTGCCAAGTGACTTTCCCGCTGGGTGATGCATTTCCAAGTAAGAAGGAATGCCGCTACAAAAAGCAGAGACTAGCGGCGCTGGCTCGGGGTGGGTGCATAAAGAGGCATTGCTGTCACTCCAGTACGATGTACCAGCACCCGCGCTCCGGGCAAGAGGACGGGAGTCGACGGGAAGCGAGAGAGATGAGACGAAATGTCGCGGACAGGCTCGGCGCACAGAGACTCTGCGAACCTAATTGCCCCTCGTCTCGCTGAGGGTCCTGTCGGCACACCAGAACACCAGACACACCGGAAAACGGGGTTCAACAGGAGCCTGGACTGTTTCCGCACCCTTGCTTTTTCGGTTCTCGATACTTGTGAATAGGGTTATCCTCATACCCTCCTGATAAATTGCTTCTTGTTTTGAGAAGATGTGAGCAGGAGCCGAGTAACAGCCGGGCCCCTGATGCTCACGGCTGACGGCTGATGGGTGATGATACTGGATCCCCATAAGGCAGACTCCATGGGAACAGCGGACTCAAACGAGGCGTCAGGCCAATGAGGTTCGCCACTGGGGAGTTTCTGATACAGCGCGCTGGTTGTGTGCACCGAGAGAGAGAGAGAGAGAGAGAGAGAGAGAGACGGAGCCAGAATGCATTGCAGCAATGCTCGTTCAACGGGTCCTAGGGGGTTTGTGAATGATCCCTGCTTCTTAATAAGGCACATTGTGCAACCCGGGTCGGGCAGTCAGGTGAGAGCAGGCGACATGCCTGGTCAGCGTCGTTTTTCTTAGGGCACAAGATTGCATCGCTTGCGGTGGCTGATGAAATAGGTATCCGTACTGGAAAGGGCAAAAAGGAAGAGGTTGTCAGATGAAGCTTTTTAGGGATGTTGCTATAGAGGCACCTAATTGAGGTTGGAATGTCTCTGGTCCTATCCGCCTCGTGACGACGAAGACGGAAACGGAATGGTTGTTGCAAATCATTCGTTGAAGACAACTGTGACATTCCATTGATGGTTGCTGGACTGACGTCTTTTTCTTTTCTGTTCGCAAAGTGAATGAATGAGTGTGGAGGGGAAATGGGACGTGGAATGCAAAGGCTGGGAAGCATGGAGTCAATGGACCCATCCACTCGGAGTACCTCAGGGTAGGTACCTATGGATGGACCCAGTCATGCCAGTAAGGTGCTGTACCTTACCGTGGCCATGACCTCAGTTCCAAGCCGCGACGCCGGGAAGACCCTCGTTGCAGCGCTGGGATGAACCTTCTCTGTGAGGGCTTCGTGCTGCGGCTGTCCAGGCGCATTGTGACGGTATACCTCGCTGAGGGCGGGAGGGTAAAAAAGCGAGAGAGTTGCACATTGCCTAGTCGTGGGTCCGGCGGCGGTTCAGGCATGGTTGTCCAACTGATCCGGGATATCCTCTGTCATGCTGCAGTACTCATGGAAGGCTGTGGGTTTCTCAACCATGGTATGTAGTGTAATCTATCCGGTCTGCAAGCTGATGGGCGGGTCGCGGAAGGCCCCAGAGAAATAAGAGTATAGGACCCAGATGAAAAGATTAATGTTGTTGTAAATGTAACGAGCAGGCCGGCGCAAATTGAAGGCGGTGCTTCGGTTGGATCCCGCTTCATTCATTGCGCCTGAAGTTCTGAAGTACAGTACCGGTAGGCTGTAGCCCCTTCCCCCCTCTGCAAAGTCACTCAAAGTTCTCCGTAAGAGTAACCTTAAGCTAGCAGCGGCAGTGCGAACGCTGCTTCCGTACCTTGCCTTAGTGAGGTACTTTATTACTTGCCTTAGTAGCGCAAGTACCGAAGTAGCGTCGTATTGAGTGGATGAGCTTCGTCTCTGGTGTTGAAACCACCTTGACAGGCCGAAAGGTACGGATCCTTGTGATCACGAAGACGGCGATGGTGAAAGATTCCAATCATCAATGCCGTTCGATAGATGTCTCCTCTACCATCTACAGACTCTGAGCATGGTGTTGACATCAGGTGTATCGTTTATAGAGCACGTCCGGATGACATATCATCACTTGTCAGGTACACTAATGAGAGATCGGGTACGTTAAGGTACTCTATGGTAGGGAAGCAGGAGCGGCATGGACAGAAAATGGAAGGACACGGCCCCAACAGGCGCCTTCTCAAACACGCTGTCGTCATTTTGTCGCTGTTGCTCAGGGACCTTTGATTTGTTCCTTTTTTCTGCAACAAAAAAGACGTGGACATCAGTTCTAAATTGCCGTATCCAAGTGTGTATCATGCTAACACTGCTAAGACAATTCAACTCATTTCACGAATTCAAGTAATGTAGGTAGGTAGGTAGACACTACACAGTTGTATTCCACGGACATGATTGTAAGGTAACGTGGTGCGAAAGCGGGAGAGGTAGAAGAAAGGTACCTTACCAAAGGTACATGGCCATGGGAGCACTTGCCTTCCATGACAACCGCCGCAGGAACGCCTCGTAACCGGGGACCCTGGGAAAGCGAGACACCACCTCCCCGATGCTCCAATGCTCCAATGCTTCCCCCTCCATCTCTCTACGAAAAGGAAAGGTACCTGTTCGCCCCGTGCCTTACATGCGCAAATCGAGGTACCCGTCCCCCCCGGGCGCTCGTCCAACAACCCAATCCCGTCCACGCATCCCGCCCAGTCCAGTCAAAATCCTTCTTCCCCCAGTCTTCCGTCTTGTCTTAATTCATCTGCGCGTTGCACCGCATCCGACAGCGCCTCCTGAGGTGCTTTGCTCTTCTTCTCTTCTACTAGCAATTCCCTCCCGAGTCCCAGCCCCAATCCACACACCCGTACGAATACCTACCTACCGCACCGCACACACGTCGTTCCTTTGGTGTGTGGACTGTGGACGCGTGCATGAGCCAGACCTCTTCCTCGCTCTCTATCTCTTACCGATACCCTTCACGAATATCCGTACTCTCCTCCTCCTTAAGCAACCTGAGTCGCTCAACCTTGAACGGCACGGCCATAATACACAAACTACCCTCACAAGAGAGAGAGCTTGGCCCAGCCTCCTCCACCCCTCCAGCATCAACCTCCAGTCGCATCCCCACTGCCGCACTCCGTCAACTGCCACCAATAGACGCCGTGTTCTGGAAACACCTGCGATCTCCCCTTAACGGCTGCTCTATTGAACCTACTATCCGGCATTGCCCAACGCGCGGCTCTACTTCATTTCTTATTCTCTCCTTTTTCCTCTGTCCCCCTCTCTCTATCGGTTACTACTCCCCTTGAAATTCGGCTCACTCCGTCCTGCGCGCACCGAACCCCTCGAAATTGCAGTGGACTGTTCTCTCGTCCCGGATACCAACTCGAATCGTCCGCTCTCGCGCATAGCCTGGCCCGCCGAAACTGTCGATCAACATTGAGCCGAAACGTGCGGAATCCCAGCCTACAAGACCACAACAACCCCCCGCCAACCCTTGGCCTTCTCGACAACGTCAGCTATGCGCCTGTTGTAGTCTGTCCAATTCCGCAAAGCTGTGGAGCTACACCTAATTTTCTCCTTTACGGTAACCTTATGCGATCCCGGGCCGCCTAGGAGCTGTTACCGAAGCCAACACTCTTCCGACCTCGAACCACCCATCTTTTACCCCAACACACACCCCAAAAACACACTCGACCGAAACTCGCACATTGCGCCACTGATTCGAAAGGTCGACGACACGATCCCGACACGAGAAGTGGTGGCATAGCAGACGATGGCAGGTTATCCGGGTCAGCGTCCTTACGGCGGTGGCCCTCCCGCGCCTCGTCCTGGCCCCGGACCGGGCCCAGCGCCCGCGCAGCGGGGTCCTCCTCAGCAGTATGACAACTTCCAGCAGGATGGATATGGTTACGACTACTATGATGACGGCGGCTACGACCAAAACTATGGCGGACAGTACCAGGACCCCAACTACGGCAGAGGTCCGCCGCCGAACCAAGGCTACCCGCCGCAGGATTACTATGGTGGCGGCCCAGGGCCAAATGGCCCGCCGAGGGGAGGACGGCCGCCTCAAATGGGAAGAGGTGGTCCCATTGCACGCCCTCCGACCGCAGATGGTACTCGCGGCGGATATCCGCCTCGTGGCGGTGGCGGTCCCCCAGGCCGAGGAGGTTTCCCCATGGGTCGTGGCGGTCGTCCCGCTCCGTATGAGCGATCGGCCAATTCAGATCCAGCTGGTGAGTTGCGCGTGTGCCATTCATGCCCTTGGATGCTAACCATTCCTAGCAAACCGTCCTCGAGAACACGCACCGATCAGTCCTCCTGGCGCCCAGGGATTCAGTGGTGGCGCTTTCCCGTCATTTCCAGGACAAGGCCGTAAGACGGACCTAGATGCTGAAAATGCGATTCTGAACAAGATGGCCGGAATTGACATCTCGTCCCAACCTGTCCAGCAGCGACCTCCTGGTGGACCTCAAAATGGAAGAGCGCCGCCACCTCATGGCTACTCTGACCCGCGGCGTGGCCCTGAGCCAGGTTACGGACAAGACTTTCGAGGAGATGGCTACGGCCAGCAAGGCCCTCCGAGGGACGATTTTGGCCCCCCTTCTAGAAGTATGACCATGCCGGTCAACGATCAAGCACAAAGGCGCGGGCCTCCGCCACGCCAGGACACATATGGTGGCCCAGGGGGACCGCCACGTGGTGGTGTTCCTCCTCGGCCTTCAACAGCGCAAGGAAATAGGCCGCCACCGCAACGCATGTATCCCCCAAACCCGATGCCGCCGCCACCGCAACAGCAGCAGCAGCAACTGCCTCCGCCTCAGAATGCAGGGTATGGGGGACCTGGAGAGTTCGGAGGCGATCAGGATGGATACCGAGATACTAGGGCGTCATTCGGCGATGTCTACGACGCCTATTACCAACCTTCACGCATGAGTAACCAAAGCGCCCACAGTTACGGTCACCATGATGCTCCCGAGTACAATGGGGCACCTTCGCATGCTCCTCGCGGTTCTTTTGAACAGCACATGCGCCCAGGCATTGCCGAACACACGCAGCCGGGCGCTAAGCGCGTTCCGGAAATGAGTCGAACCAAATCGCAGCCAGATCTTCGACAGTCGCAGCAGGCTGTCTTTGAGATGGCCGGTGACGCTCCTCCAATGCCGCCAATGGGTAACGGCTACCAGGACGCATACAACCAGCCCAACGGCTGGGACCAACCACAGAATCCGCAGATGGGGCGTCCTGGTCTGCCCCAAGGCCCTTCCCCTAATCGAGGCCCCGATTCTCTGCCATCTCATCCAGCTCCCGTGCGACCTGGCCACATGCCTAATTCCATGGTCAATATGAATGACAAGCCCGCGCCTGTTCGCAACTACGCCGGCGCTCCTGGCGTACACGTATCGACTCCTCCTGCCGGGCCTGGCAGCGCACCCCCGCCTCAGCAGCAAATGCTCCCTCAGCAACCCAGCAAGGCTTCGCTTCAAGAAACAACACCCGTTACACAGGAAGAGCTGGAGCGTCTACGCCAGGTTGTCAAGTCAACACCGAACGATCAAGAGACTGCCATGAGACTAGCGAAGCGACTGGTGGAGGCGGCCGATGTTCTGGCCCCGAATCTTGCCGATCCGAAGATGAAGACCCGTGCCCGGGAGAGATATCTTGCCGACGCAAACAAGATTCTCAAGAAGTTGTCGAGCGCGCAAAACTCTGAAGCAATGTTTTTCTATGCTGACTGCCTAGGCCGTGGCTTGTTTGGACTGGAGCCTGACAACAAGGAGGCCTTTACATTGTACCAGTCGGCTGCTAAGCTTGGACATGCGGCTGCGGCGTACAGAACGGCAGTCTGCTGTGAGATTGGACATGAAGAAGGTGGTGGCACAAGAAAGGATCCCCTCAAGGCCATCCAATGGTACAAGAGAGCTGCCACGCTCGGTGATACGCCAGCCATGTACAAGGTCGGTATGATCTTGCTCAAGGGGCTTCTTGGCCAGCCAAAGAATCCTCGCGAGGCTGTAGGGTGGCTCAAGAGAGCTGCTGAAAGAGCTGACGCGGAGAATCCTCACGCATTGCATGAACTGGGTCTGCTCTACGAGTCTGCAGCACCCAACGATGCCATCATCAAGGACGAGGCTTATGCCTTCCAGCTGTTCCGAGAGGCGGCCGACCTCGGCTACAAGTTTTCACAATATCGTCTCGGCTGCGCCTTCGAGTATGGTCTGATGGGCTGCCCCGTTGACCCCCGCCAGTCCATTATGTGGTACTCCCGCGCAGCTCAGCAAGGCGAGCACCAATCTGAGCTGTCACTCAGTGGATGGTACCTTACTGGTACCGATAACGTCTTGCAGCAGAGCGATACCGAGGCTTACCTGTGGGCGCGCAAGGCTGCCACGGCCGGTCTGGCCAAGGCCGAGTACGCGATGGGTTACTTTACCGAGGTGGGCATTGGTGTGCCGGCCAACATGGAGGATGCAAAGCGATGGTACTGGAGAGCAGCTGGTAAGTTGTAATTGCTTCCGTGTGGCGATGTATGCTGACCCGTTTCCACAGCCCAAGATTTCCCCAAGGCACGTGAACGGCTCGAAGACCTCAAGCGCGCCGGCAAGAACGGTCCCCGACAGCGCGAGCGCATTTCTCGCAGCAAGATTGGCAAGCAACAAGAGGGCGAGTGCTCCGTTATGTAGGCGGCAAGTCATTACCCAACGCAACAACTTGATGTAATACGAACGGTCCGGGCTGGGTTCCTGTGTCGACCGCAACGACGACCACGAACAGAGGATGAAGAGACGACGACGAGGTACAACTCTGTGTACTTGTACGGCATCAACCGACAACAGGATGTTTGATCTATACGGAACAGGAAAGAAAAGGCTTACGAAAGACGGAAGACAATGGGGGGAGCCACAACAGGCGTTCTGGACAAACGGTAGTCTAATTTCCTCCGTTGGATGGGAGGCTCCTTTGTTTGATTGAGGGGCCATTCATATTCTTCCTCTACCCCATACAGGCCCATGGAATGAGGATGGTTCTGATGAGGGGCTGGATTTCAAGCACTCATGTCAATGTCTCATCTGAGGGCAGGTTGTTATGGCTCATACAGCCGATGTTTGGCGTTTAGCATATATAATTATTCATCAATGTGGTCTTTGGTGATTCTACTTTTCTGTCGTTTGACATAATTTTATCATTCGATGCTATGTGCGGATGCCATGGAGTACCCTATTGACACGCTTGTTATTCCTGGTGGGTGATGTCTGCCTTCTCCCCGGCGATTTCCTCCAACAAAACTATTCGATTACAATGACCTTATCTCTGTTTCGTTCTGGTCAGACAATGTGCATCTCGGCTCGGTGCCGTAAAGGTAAAGGAGGTGGATAGATGTAGCTGCAACTGTCAGCAGGTGAGGTTGAGTCTCGTTCGGTTTCGGTCTCGGGTCGTGTTTGTGCACCGGGGGCTGAGGCCTTCTCATCCGAGGTGAAGATGATTTGATTGGCATGATGAGGTTTCTTGGCTGCATGATTTGGCATTCTCGGTCAAGGTCGTTCGGGCGAGGCAGAATGGTCTTCTCTACGAAGGTCAGAAAAGTAGGGAAGTTAGGGAGCGGGGGATGTTCATTTGACGGGGGTTTCGTGCGGCCCGGGACGGACTTTTGGAGACGACAGGGCGGGGGTTGAGGGGCCGGACCGGGAGAGTCCGTCGGCTCGGAGGATGCGGATAGCACCGGGGGCAAGAAGTAACGGCCTGGATGTATATCAGCGGTCTGTCCTCGTTGTGACGCGAATGATCTAGCTTGGCATGTCGCGATAATCGTCGTAGACGTGATGTTTCGTATCGTCGGAGAAACTAGCTTTGGCTTGTATTCAAATATCAGCCGCGGCCTGCTGTGTGTACGACCTTCACTGAGCTTCTGGTAAGGTAGGAGAAGCGACCTTTCCAAGACGTGATGGATGAATCAGGGGAAAGAGCGCCCACGTTTCCCTCCTTCCTGAGCGTACCTTCCATCTGAATACAGGGAAGGGCATATATCCCCCTAAATCCCATTCCCGTCACCAGCCACCAGGCGCCCTCTTTGGGGGGTCAAGTCAAAACTGGCTGGGTGGTGGAGTGGTTGAAGTCCACGAACAGCCTAATCGGTGAAGGCTTAAAGGTCTCGTGTTCGAGTCCCAGCACGTGCGCCAGAGATGTAGCCCCCGTTCGCCACCGGGGGGGGGGGGGGTGAACTCTTTTGTCTTCTAGATCTTGCCTTTTTGGTGGATGTATATCGTGGATGTTGTCCAGAGTGCGAAGCCTCCCTTAAAACGTGATATTGAATTCTCTGTTACGTATTGCCCCTTTCCTACCAGCTACTCCAAGTCTTCCTTTCACAGCACCTCTCCCCGCCTGGATCTCTACACCGAACGAAAGGCAACCTTTGGAGAAGATTGGTTGAAGAGGGGAAACATCGCATGGGTTTTTGAACATCAAAATCATACAAGGATTGGGTCACGTCTTTCAAGTGAATTTCGAAATTCCCGCGTCTCTCCAAGCTACAGTAGCGATATGGACATACTCACAGTAGCAGCAACCAGCATAAACCCCAAACTCAAAGAACCCGAGCCGACCGCCGTATTTGTTGCAACCCGAGTGGAATTCACCCTCATACAATGAATATTCGACCTCGCCAACTTGACATTAAATCTCTCCTCCCCAACCCACGTATTGAAAATCAGAATCTGTACGCGGTTCGAAGCATTCAAATACGCCTGCCTCGCATCCGCGCCATCAACCAACCCGCTTCCAAACCCCAAAATCTCACTGCCACTCGTGACCGGCGGCAGGTCGCCTCTCGCCGTCGAGGTGGAATTCCTCGTAACGTTGGGGTTGAGGTCACTCGTCCTAGCTCCATGAATCACAGCACCATACCCAAACGTGGCATTACACTCCGGAGTCGTCTTCCACGGGGGCATTCTCCCGCCGCAGCCGTCTCGGGTGAGTGTTCTATCGGAGACGTAGAGGGCCTCGAGGCATGCTTCGCCGAGGACCGGTTCGCAATCTGTGCTGTTGCCGTTCTCCTCGGCCCAGAGGTTTGTGACGTTGGGAGAGAACTCGACGTCTAGAGATGTCACGCAAAAAGGGGAATCAGAGCCACGCAGACCGCCGGATGACAGGTTTCCTCCGCGGCGCCAGGATAGGGAGTAGGAGGTGGCGATGTAGTGCGGGTCGGTGACGTTTCGGCCTAGGTTGACCTCTGTGGTGTTTTGGGCGAGGTGAGGGAGACTGAATTCGGATACGTTGACGCCTGGTGGTGAGATGTAAGTTTATCTAAGTCTTTTTTTGAAATCTGGAAGAGGGAATTGGGATCGTACGCCATGTCCACTCGTCTTGTCCAAGCTGCGGGGCGTTACCTAAGAAGATCTCAAAGGGGCGGAACGATATTTGGCGTGTGGCGTTGGGCTCTGCTATTGCCTGTTGGAGGATCTCTATGGATTTATTATCGAACACGGTGGGCGGCGATGCTCTGAATGTTTGGGCGCGGTCGTTCCAATAGCTAAAGGGCGCAGAAGCGCGTGAGAATAGGAGGCCTACGATGGGGAGTTTCATTCTGGACAGACGGTTTCTATTGATGATGATAACGCTGGGATAGAGGACACAAAAAGTTGTCTGGTAAACTTTTTCAGCCCGCGATAGCCTTATGCGCAATTTGGTCTTTAAACTCCTCAAGATCTGGATGTCTGGACAGAGGAGGCTCTCGAGGAGGCGTTTTTCGCCCCGGGCGGAGCAGATCTTGCCGATCTTGTCAGCCCTACGCCCGGTAGATATCTGGGGTATCTGACACCACTACGTGCGCCCAGGCACTATACAGTACTTGTGATATCACTTCTAGTCATGGTGAAGAATCATATTCGCAGATGACTGGCCAGTCATAGTGAAATGGAAATGGGCGCTTCTCCTTGAGGTATTGACAGACGTTAAAATGCCAAGACAGAGATAACCTTTAGAGCCGAAATGCCACACCAAATGGCTGAAGCTGACAGTTTGATCCGATTGAGAATGCGTCCAATTGGGCTTCAATTACCTTACAGCAATGTCTCAAAGGATTTCCTCTGACGACCCTGGCAGTCTAGACTGCTTGAAAAATAATCAGCTGCGGTCGAGGAACGAAGTGAAGAGTACCTATTCTCCCGAGAATGGGTGGCTAGTGGTCTTGCCCACGGCTTTCGTCTGATAATTGAGAATCAGACTGTTCATGCAAGTGCGAGTAACGTGTAGGACTTCTGTGAAAGGTAATGATTTATTGCATTCGACACTCAAGTAAATCGCGAGCAGTGCAGCCATCATTCAGGATGTTGCCATGAGTAGCCGAAAACCTAGTCGGTATAGCACTAGGCTGCCATGTTCAGATGCTGTAATCGGTGTGTAAATATCTACCTGTACTAATCGTAGCTTCAGTTATTCACTTATCAGTTTTTCCGTCCCTTCCTTACGCTCAACTCAACTCAACTCTTCTATCCATATCCAACAAGAGACCTCAAAACGATGGGAGAAGACAATACTGGTCACACCGAGGACAGGAAGATCGGTACTCAATGCTAGATGCGACGCGGGGTGAGGAAGATGGAGTCGCTCCTGAGTTGTAAGAAAGCCCAACGCCGGCTCTGTATTCTATCCACCACGTGGATAGATTCCTCTCTAGGCCCAAATCTTCCATCAGAGTTGTCAAAATCGGCCCATCGAAGTTCAAGACCTCAAATTACCTCATTGATGGATGACCTCACGACTCTGGTGATCCTGTTTCGAGTATGGACACTCATCTTCTTCGTCCTGTACCATTCGGAAGTTCCCCCCACGCAAGTCCAAATCTAGAACTCGACCGACCTCGGTACGGCCGGCGTGTCATCCGATGTTTCGCAACGCAGGGTAGCAATCAGCAAGATGGCTCCCGGAGTCCGAAGGGGGGATCGTCCCGTGCCTTGCGTAAGGGTCAAGGCCAGAGCCAAAAGGGAGAGAGAGAACCTCGTTTTCGGGGGGGGAGTGGATCAAAGGGTTGGGCTGGAAATTGGAAAAGTCCCTATCCATGCATCATGCCAGCGTAGCGAACTACGTGTAACGGTCGAACTCGTTTTGCTTTTCCGTATTGCCAGGGCAGATCTTGGTAAAAGTCACGCCGATTACGGATAGGCTGGGCGTCGAATAACATGGAATTGGGAATTACGGACGAACTATGTGATTCTGACGTGAACGCCCCATTTCGATGTCGATAATTCTCCGGCATCATCGGCCGGGTAGAAGGGAGTTGCAGAGCCGGATGGACACAAGTGAAGGGGCGACGAGCCGGGGAGGAACCGGAACTTGGAAGTGAAGGGGTTAGAAAAGTTTAAAAGATTGAATGAGTCTTGGTATCTCGGAAGAAGCAATGAGAGGGCCTTTTTGTCGATGGCAGGGCGAGACAAGTCAAGGCGCTGGAGGAAGCAAGAGGAGGATATCATTCAAGTGAAATGGTCGGAGATGGGTCGACGGCGATGGACGTGGCGGGTCGCAGGGAAGCGAATCTCTCTTCTCGAGTTCTTCTGAAGAGACTACGGAACGTCTGATTTGCGACTTTCCAATCTCAGATGTTTCGTTTTATTCCTTGTCTCTCGTCGTTCACCTCTTTCCCTTTCTGTCCTTTGAAATTCTGCATTTCAAAGGAAGAAAGAAAGAGTGGGAGAGCATTTCATCCGCGGCTTCCACGAACCGGCGATGCCGCGATACATGGCCGAGATTACGGATACTGGGGAGAGAGACATCTCCAGTTCGTGGTGCACGGAGTATTGTGCGCTGGCAGAATTTTGGGGACCATATCCTTCAAATCATCGTCACACGTGGTTGTTGCTTTTCTGGAAACTTTCTGGATGGGGAGGGGTTACACTCTCGACGGGGTTAGCAAGGCTAGGTTGCGTCTTTCGTTGCTTATTCTTGCCAGGCTAGGTACCAGACTAGCATTCAAACGACCTTGTCACCTTCAGATCCTTTTTTGGAAGCAGGCAGACACATTCTGAAATACTAGAGATGCGGGGACTTGAATGTGCGTTGTGTAGGACTCGGCAGAACGTTCTTCGAGGAGAGGAAGAGAAACCACATGCGTTGAGATCCACATCAGAGAGAGAGAGAGAGCGCGCGCGCGAAAGAAAGGTCTTTCGGTGTGAAGGCACAAGACGGGACAGTCCTGTTGCAATAATGGTGGAGGCCTTCCTGCCATCCGATGTTTCGCGGTCCTGTCTGTGTTTGATCACCAGTTCATCCCAGCATGGCAAAGTCCACCCCTGCCCTGAGATGTCTTATCTCTCTCCCACTCTCTCAAGTCTCAATTCTCAAGTCTCTCTTTGCCTTGCTGCCAAACCGATGATAGGCGCGCCCGCATACGAAACCACATGACGAGCATGCGGCACAGCAGCACATGGAGTACACGAGACAGAAATGCACTGCGAGATATGCACGGCGATCATCGACGCGAGGGTGAGCACAACGGCGCGACGACAAGGCACTGGGACCGGCGACCATGTACTTCTTCCCCCCTCCAACTCGACCGTTCACAAGTCGGCGTCGATTTGTGATCTCACAACCGAGTGGGATTGAGACGGCGGGTGGTGGTGGTGGCTGCTGACTGTCCATCGTCCATCTGCGTGGGCTTTTATGTGGGATGCTTATGCTGCAGAAGGGGGAAAGGGCAGAAATTTGACGGATCATCTAATGCAAGCCCATCCAGCCACATCACTGTGTACGATGCAGCGAGCCTCTCGGTTTGAGAAAATTCACCGCCATCGAGATTGGTAGGATATCACATATGCCGCCGTACACGACGCGATGACTCCCCCCACCACGGCTCGATTCCCAGGCGGAGGGAACAGCGAGCGCAAGAGAGATCTCGCGATCTCACGATCGATGTGGTCAAATGTCCGACCACACTTTTTCAGTCGGTATCAAATTTCTCCGAGCCAATGAAGACGGAGGGGCACAGCACACCGCGGAGCCGAAGTGGACGGAGTATCCAGAAAGGAAGCCCGAGGGGGGGACGTGGCGGGCAGATGAAGATCCCAAGATCGTGGCATGCGAGCGCAAGGACAGCCGAAGGAGGGGGGGTCCTGAGGACAGCGGCGCCAACAAAACAACGCACAGATGTTGCGAAAATGATGTGTCTTTTTGGGAACAATGTTCATAATCCTTGCTGATGAGCAGGGATATGTGCTCATGAAGGGATGGGTAGCAGGGGTGGGTGATGGAAGGACGGCGTTCCGAATCCTAGATATAATTGCTTTTTCTTGCATTTTCTTTAACCAGAGTTTTTCTGCTTGTCTTTGGAGGGAAGAGGAAGTGAGAGAGATTCGGTCTCGGATTTTGGGGGCCTGGCTCAAGGTGGCTGATACATGAAATCGGTTACGATGACCTGAAGCAGCTCAAGATCATATCCACTTTGATCGATCATATCGCTATCCGAGACTCAAGCACCAGGGTTAACTAGGGGACTGTGACGTCTCTTGAGGCAAGGAGGCGGTTGGGCTGAGGCTCAACCAGAGGCGTTTGAGAGGCGTTCAGGGAGCCCAAATACATTAAACATGGCGATTTTAGATCCAGATTCACTTGGTATGGAAAAGGTTTGACAGGACGGAAGCTCCCGTTAGACGGCGTCCGATCTAAAGTGCTTGGTAGTTTACCAGGGCAGCAGGGGAGGAAATGAAGTGGAAAGGGAGCGGCCAGATTTTGATATCGAAAAGAAAGGAAACGGAAGGAAGCTAGGAACGAAAGGACGGTAAGCTCCGGGATAGAAACCATGTATTTGGCTTCTCCGATGACGTCCTGAGCTGTTTGGATCGAGTCAGTAATGGAATTTTGCTTTCGATAGTATCCGCTGGAGCGATGCGCGGGTACGTCCGTAGATGAGCGGCTTCTGACGTGGCTGGCTGGCGGGCAAACGTGGACCTAAACAATGTCTCTATCCACGTGCCAACCTGCATCTGAAGATCAGCAATACACCATGCCATTGCCACGCACAGCTTCCTGTTGTGAATCAGACTGGGAGGCGAATCAGGAGCACATGACGAACGCCTGGGACGAAGGGTACCTGGGAGACGTTGAAGACGTGGCACGCCAAGTGTTTTGTCCGAACGAGAATCGCTTGGCAGATACCGGTCGACGGACCAGGAGGCGGAGGAGACGTCGATGAAGTTCCGCATCGAGGGTTCGAAGCACGTATGGTCATAATAGGTGGATGGCATAGTGACATACTGCTTGGAATCATGATTACTGATTCGGGATGATTAGATGGTGCCGTCAAGGAATAGAGATCTTGTGGAAGTAATGCTTCCTTCTTTCTACTACCTCGTATAGTCGTACCTACTTGATGTGAAAGTTTTGGACCGTCAAAAGTCTATCATACTTACTCGTGTAGGCGCCGCGATTCTGGGTTCGACGGCGCCCCTTCGTGGTTTACACTACGCACTCGGGAGATGGATGGTGGTCAGGTCCAGAGATGGTGATCTGCCGCAGGGGAGGGACGAAAAGTACGGGGACATGGGGAGGAATCTGTTCGGGGAATGAGGGGTCCCCGGTTCCGCGGCCAGGATTCCACCCATGGCTTGTCTTGGCTCATCTTGAACTCTCTGACTTTTCTTGTTACCTACATCCCTTGTCTCCTCCATGCGGGACATGGTTGCTCGAGGCATGACCATTGGCATGCGAGCCCGGCGCGGGCGCGCGGGAAGACTGCATAGTGGGGGACCGCCATTTGGTCGTAACTCTACAAACAAAAGTCTTGGATCCGACGAGAACGGTGTGGATGGTTTACGACGGTCGTGGCGCGAGTGCTGACGATGTTTGCTCTCCCAGGTCCATGGACGGAGATACAGCTGGAACTAGTCGAAGCGGGACGGGTAAGGCGGGTACACCTACATATCTATAACATCACCAACATTTTGCAATTACTCTAATTGCCTACCTAAGCTAATACTACGGCTACCTACTGACTTATTGAAGCAAACATACCGACTCGACTCGTTCCAGACCTTTCGCCAGTTCACCATGCAACCACCCCGATCACCCGTTCAGTTCATTCCCCCCGGTCCAACAACACCACCTTCCCGGTATGCCCCCTCGTGAGAAATGATATCACAAACGATTAAAAACCTTGTAAGTCCCAAAGCCTCATGCACTAGCCGAGGGAATAAAGCACTTTCCACCCAAAGAAACGAATAAGCGAGCCCCTCGGTTCCAGCCCTGTTAACCGCTTCCCTTTTGTTTTTTGCCCACCATGCAATCCATGCATTACGATCCCATGACAAGCGCCAATGCCATATCCTCGAAGGCTTTCGCCGCAAGTGACCTCCATGCCCAGGCTCTCAAGCGCAAGAAGACGCCCGTCGCCGCAGCCCGCCGGGCCAATGCGGCTTCACGCAGCCCTCGCAGCCAGGACTAAGCACGTCCGGCTCCTTGCCCTCAAACAACTCGGGCTTGTACACATACCACTCGCGATAGGATTTCCACTCCTCGAGAAACTCGACCCAGTACGCGAGTTGCTCGACGAGCCAGCTATCGCGGAGTCGGTCGCGGATCCACTCAGCCGTCTCCTCCTTCTTGCCGTTACCGTTACCGTTGCCGTTGCCGTTGCCTTGCTGCCCCACTCCCGCTCCTGCTCCCGGACGTCCCGCCGCCCAGGTCCGAAGAAGATCCGGCCGGACGTCGGCGACGCGTTCGGCCGTATAATAGACAAACTCGGCCCGTTTGCCCCGCGCCGTGAAGTATGGAACGGAGCCCCACTCCACGACGGCGCGCTGCTTGGTCAGCTCCACCACGCGCACCGTGCAGCAGGTGCATTTTGCCTGGTTGAGAAAGTCGCGGAGGACCGTCGAGGCGGAGGGCGTGCTGGTGCGCGGGTGGAGCTGCATGGTTGAGGTTGTGGAGCGATGATGGTGTTTTCTGTGATTGTGGTGTGGCGGGTGAATACCTGCAGCACGGGGACTTGACGGCCGAAGCTGCGTTTGACATGTTAGTTTGTTGGTTTTGTTTTGAGGCTTTCTCGTGGACAGAGTTGGAGGAGACAGAGAGAGTCAGTCACAGTCACATTTGCGTGGCCGACACTCGGTGTGGTGGGGTGAAGCACGAAAAAGGCGGAACGAATAAAAAGTAAAGAATGAAAAAATGAAATAAAAAAGAGCTCACGAGGTTTAGCGGTCGATCTGTCGTCATCTCAGCTGCGAGGATATCCAGGGTCTGTCGGCAAGTCGCAGACTCTAGACTCGTTTGTTTTCCGTTTGTGTCCACCCCGAGTTGCTTTCTTCGGCTTTCCTTTCTGGCGGCCAAGGGTTCCTTTCGATACCATAACCGACGACCAACACGACACGAGTCGACACACACGGGCTATTCCGATGCTGACGCTGGCTGCGTGCGTACCGGATACGTCCCAAACTTCCTTAAAATTGGCAAGGGCTGGCTTGGGCTGCAGAGGCGACAGAACGGGAATGGGGTGGAGAGCATGAGCTGAGCTGGAGCTTGTTGTCTTTGATCCTCAGGGCAAGGGAGAGAGAAGGAAAAGAAGGCCCGGCCGCCCCTCCAAAAAGTCTCTTGAGGTCTTTTTTTTTGCCCGCAATAAGATGGATCAACAATTGATTTATAGCAAGGTTTTGCTTTTGGCTCATGTCCCTCCCGTTACCCCAGTTCTGGCTCTGCGTGCCTTGTTCCCCATCATGTCTTACTCTTCTTGGCAAAGCTCGAAGGTCTTTACGGTTACTATGAGGTCCAGCCAGATATTCAGCCATATATGTCACTGGCAACACTAAGGTAGGTAAGTATGTGTGGGTGATGAGGAGAAGCGTGTGTGCATGTGTCTGTAGTAATCCGTCATAGCATCTCAGCATGAACGTCATAAGGGGGGTGTGATCCTTGAAGATTCTGCTCTGCTTCCTGGTCGCACAGGAAGGGAAAAAAAGGAGAGTGATACGTGCAAGGAGAAGCGAAATATGTATGGTATGGTGTCAGTTCGTGCTACCATACTGCTGTGGGCGTAGACCTGCCAGCTTTGGTGGTTGTCCCTCACTTCATGCTATCGTTGCCACGGAGTGCTTTCTTTTTCCGCCCCGTCTCTGTGGACACCCCATTTCGAGGAATGTTGACAACCCTGGTCTCTTCGCCGGGGTGGATTACCCGGGCGATCGTCCGCCCCAATCGCGCGGATACCCCATCTCGGGACGTCCGTCATATTTCACTTTTTCGTTTCCGCCGCATGACAGCGCCACCTTTGTGAGAGTTCTTCTGCTTTGGGGGAACCGAGAGAGAAACATGGTGCCTGAACCCAGTGTGCCTGTATCCGTACCTTACCTACCCCGTAGGTGTATCAAACAGCAAGCCTGGCGCGGCCCCTTCCCTCCCCCTTCCCCTTCATCTCGCTGCCCAATCTTCGATACCACGCACGTCTCTCGGGGATACGCCAGACAGGGATTCATGCAGAAAGTGAGATTTCACACTACCGCCCGCAAATCCTCCATAGCTCTGGTTCATTGGTCTGAAGTTGCGTGACCACCGCGGCTCATTACGGTGCCATTATCGAGCCTTCTTCGAGTCCCTTCACTGACACAAGAGCTGGGATTTCTCTCTTATTCGCTGGGATTGCCGTCTTCCGGAGATAGTAGCGCCGGGAGAAACGGACCAACAAGGCTGGCTCCAAGGAAAAGAATCGTCATAAAATGAGGAAGGAAAAAAAACCATTTGTGATCCCTCCGAGCTCGTGGATCGGATACTTGCTTTTTCTTTCCTTTTTTTCTTTGGTCCTTCCCTGCAACAAGGAAAATCCGCTGAGCAGAATGGCCCTTTACCCATGCCCCCTTGAGGGGATGTATCCGTACTTTGCTGACTCGGATCAACTCATTCCACCCGTGTCGTCGGTGACAACCAGGCGTGGTCTGGTCTTGGGAACACAACTTGAGGCTGCCTGGCCACGGCCGAAAGAGAGAGAAAAAAAAAATGCGGCAAGCGGCAAACGGCACGAGGAGAGACTAACGGATCCCAGTCGTGCCAGCAGCTTTCCGCAAGGGCCCTTGAGAGGGGGGCCAGAGCAATACGGCTGATTGCTTTTGGGAAAGTTGACGAGGAAGAAGAGGAAGAAGAAGAGGGAAAATGAAGGCTAATTATCCTACCTTTTCTTTCCTTTTGGTTTGAGACAAGGGCAAAAAAACATCCACCGTTGCCCTTGATAATTTGGCGGACTCTCATCATCGATGCGCAACACAAACAAGATGGATGTGTACATGCGCAGTTCCCCATCTTTTTCTTTTCGCAAAAGAAACCAACTCGAGGCCAGGCCCGCGAATTTGTGCCCATGCCTTCTCATCCAGTGTATACGCCCGCCAAGTATTCCCAGATAGAGGGTGGGCAGAATATCGAAGGGGAAGGGGGAGGGGGGTATAGGATCGAGGGATGGGAAAGGTAGGTACTAAGCGGCAACCTTCTTTTTTTTTTCTTCCTTGAGATCTTATACAATAATTACCCTCGGACCTTTTCCCCTTAAGCCGTATCGATCCCGCTCCTGCAGCCACCTGAGCTTAAGATCTTACATATACCCGCTTGAACCATCACCTCGGGACGTCGTCTGACAGGCTGCTCTCGCTCACCGGTATCTGTCGGCCCTTGCAACTTGCCTTGACCGAGTTGTCATGCCAAGTCCCCTCTTTTCAGTCTAAATCAACCTCTCGCACGCTCGCACGCCCACACACATACAATACCGACTTGTAGGTTTCGACGTCTGTTGAGGAAGAAGTCCGATGCTGACGAAGAAGACTCAGATAGCTTCTTACAACTACCGCCAACCTCTCCCTCTCTCTCCGTTTCATCAATATTTCTTCACCCGCCGCCGCCGCCGCCGCCGCCGTCCACCGCCCCGCGTTGCCCGTCATGTGCGAGTGGTACCGACGCAACTATGCCTGCGGGCACCACTTCACGGGCGCCTCTGAGTGGTGCTACCGGTACAGCCAGACGCAGAAGCGGTGCAAGGTGGTGGTGACTCAGGTCGACTACGACTCGTCTGTGTGCAAGAGCTGCATGAAGAAAGGCATCAAGACCGAGGTGCCCTGGGAGCACATGATTGACCGGTCCAAATTCGATCCCAACCAAGAATGAGAGGCGTTAAACCACCATCATCGTCATCAACATCGTCTTCCGTCTTCGCTTAGTAACAAGTTATGACGGACGACAGAAACACCCGCACAACCTTTTCCTAATCATGTATTTGTTCGACCAAAACCGGCCACCGAACGGCGAAAAAACTTATTTCCAGGGCGAGAGAGAGAGAGAGAGAGAGAGATGATTCTCCCAAGGCGTACCGGTATCTACGAGGCGGTAATCGGGGTCGTGTGGCCAGGCACGTCTATGGCTTATTAGAGCATCTGGGAGCGGCGCACCTTATACCCATTTGATTTTATGATTGGAAAAAAAAACTTATTGGACTGTGTCATGTCCTTCGATGGCGGTTGCATTTGGAGTTTTGGAAGCGGGATCTTCAGCAAAAAGAAAAGTGGTTTCCCAAACCCTCACCTTGGTTAGACTTTGTTTTACGCGTGTAATGGTCGGTTGAACCGATCGCCTTAATGTCGGATAGGATATTCCTCGTCTTTCGAGATATCGTGATGCATTCTGCGTGTCGCTTGAAGAGCTTTGTGAGCTTGGGCGGGTATGGCGCGATTACCTTACGCCACCTTACAGTCTTAACTGTCTGTGCAATGGATTCGCACCGGAAAAAAGGCCCATTCATCTAGACGCAAGTATGACATTGACTTCGTGGTGTAGTGGTGTACTGAGTTGGGCATCGATCCTGCCACGAGTTGCGGAATGCCAAGTCTCAGATCTTAGACATGAAGCAATCTGGAGGGGTTGGCAAGCTGTGGCAACTGGATCAGGACTTGGAGATCTGTCTATTCCTTCTGACAAATGACAATCGTGGGAAGTAGTTTCATGATCCATTTGCGTTCCGCAGTGAACGATACAGCGCATGGCATCCCATGTGCAGGTCGAGACTTGCCCAGCCTGAACACGAGGTCGCCAGGTAGCTATCGCATGGCCGAAGGAGGGGAAAGAGGAGTTTCTGGAACAGCAAGTGGTTGTGAATTCCCTTGATCTCGAAGTGATACGGGTAGTTCACTGGTAAGACAAACGAGCCGCGATGATCCACGATCCGCGTTCCACACGGCATCGAGGTCCTGAGACGCACGCGTGCCTATAGCCCAGCCAGTGACGTTCAGACCGAAACAAGAGCTGATGGAAATATCAGCCACTGGACAGCCGAGCTTTGAGGTTTTGGGATCCTCTAGCGAGGCTAGAGTACCGGTATCCGTGACAACGGATTTCTAGGACGACTGTGAATCGGAATATGCCTTGATGACCGACGTACGTATCAACCCCGCATGTTTCGGAGGGATACCGGAAGCCCACTGATCTCCAATGTCTTCCATAGCGGAATGAGGACAGCCGGCTAGACCAGTATCCCGGAAGCCGACGATGTTCGGCGCTGTGGTTGTTGAGTGTCGGAAGATGCACGGGCTTAGATCGGGTGCCGGGGCATCATGGCAGTCACGCGCGGCGCGGCGCCCCTTCCCTCCATGGGCCGGAGGGCCCACCTTTAAGTCTGATTACCTAAGGCACTGGCGACTAAATCTCTTACTTAGTACCTAGGTTGACAACCTGGAATTGAATTATAGGTACGTACCTCGTCACATCCAAAGTCATGTCATGGATATCATGGGAAAAAATTCCTTGACTTATGAATATTTGCGGCAGATTTTTCCCTACTCAAACTGACATACAGTCTCCTCGAGTCCTCGTAACTCAAGCAGAAGCTCAGAACCAAGACTCGAGAATCGAGAACGGCATGACCCCCCACCACTTTGGGACCCCTCCACATCGGTAACGCGGCGCCCATACCAAGAACCCAAGAAAAGAGCTCTGAATGGCCCGTCGCCGCAGTCGGCCACTTGATCGCTGCGACTTTACTTTGACAGCACCCCACACCACGGAGCAAAGAAATCCACTCTTTCTCAGACCATCAGCTAATCCCGGCAGAGAATGAGGATGTAGTGGTGCACCCGAGGTGGTGGTTACCCAATGCCAAACCACGCTGCTCCGGGTCTAGCCAGTCCACTATCTGACTATCTAATTCGCCGAGTGTGAGAGGATTTTTCTCTCTAATAATCGTCTGCTTTTATTCGCGCGCAAATCTCGCTTGTTACTCACGCCACGCGCTTTGTATCATCGTCACCTTTTGACTTCTCTTTCTCTCTCACGAAGTTGACAGAGATTGAAAATCCATCGCAACTTTTGCGCCGCAGCCTCATAATCTGCTCTTTACCGCATAAGATTCTTGATCGACAATCGCCCTTAAGCTGCCACTATGGGTCAACCATCCTTTGCGGCGTCCAACGCCCTCATCTACGTCACTTATGGACTCTTCCTGTATGAACTCTGCGCAGCTCTTCCAATCTCAACACCTTCCATCGCTGCTGCTTTCCCTCACTATCAAAGAGTGTATGGTACTAACGTTTGCGCAGTATCACCGGTACTGCCATTGCGTGGAAGTTCCGCAATCAGTCCAAGGGAGAGTTTCTGTCTGGAAATAGAACTCAGACGGGTCAGGAACTCTTCCCCTTTGCATCATGAGAATGAGAGTGGAAGTGCATGTGTTGATGGGGTCAAACGAGGCTGTGCCTCTTGTACCTGACCGCGTCTACAATAACTTTGGCTCTCATTCGTTTGAGAAAGAGTCAACACGCTCTTCTCTCATTCGGATCCCCATATGTGTAGCAAACTAACACACTCCCCGCAGCCTTCCCCCTGGCTCTCAACTTCATCGCCTCTGGTGAGTGAAGAAGACGCGGATGTTCTAGTCACTGCGCTTCTTGACCCGATAGCAAAGCATCTTCTTCGAGAAAGAAGAGCGGCAGGACGGCACGGAAAACAGCAAAGTCTACGAGACAACTTTCCCACGAACCACACAGTGCAAGCCTATGACAGATGATATGAGATAATCGACTTCTGTATCCCCGATTCTTCTCATGAGCAGACTGATCATGAGATGAATGACCGTCCAATCGAATGACTGACAGGCAGGTTCGTAACCCAACAACAAAAGATCAACAATTCCTCCTCGACTTCTACTCTCCCCCCCACCCCCTTTTTTCTGATCTCATCTTCTGAAATGGCGGAGACAAGCCTACTAACCTTTCTGGCCACCCTGAGGCACACCTCGAGTGTGGCCAGAATACTCTGTGGAAAATCCTCCCCCCTTCTGAAGATATCATCAGAAAAAAGAGGGTGGGGAGAGATGGAATCATCGGGGATGCGGCTCACTACGGGCGCGGATTTGAAGCAGTCGCCGCGCATCCACCCTCTTCCGTTCTCATCGTCTCTGGAAAGTCCTTCTTGGAGGTCTCCTTCTGGGACGACACAATAGAAGGGGAGATGCCGCGACATGTGGAAATGAAGCTGAGATTGCACCGTAATTACTCGATCAAGTTAATGCTTGCGTGGGAAACGTGCTGCCGCTCCGAACATCTCTCCCCCCTCCCTCCCCCCTCCGTCTACCTTGCCCCGGCCTCGTGAAATACTAACACACAACCCCAAGCCCTCGGCTCCGGCATCCTCTTCTCCTACCCGGAGCTCGCCACAATCACCGGCGTCCAGGGCGTCCTCGTCTACGCCCTCTCGTCCTCGCTCCCGCTCCTCATCTTCGCCGTCCTCGGCCCCGTCATCCGCCGCAAGACGCCCGAGGGCTTCGTCCTCACGGCCTGGACGAGGCAGCGCTACGGCACCATCGCCATGCTCTACCTCAGCTTCATGACCCTCGTCACGCTGTTCCTGTACATGGTCGCCGAGCTGTCCGCCATCGGACAGGTCGTCAACGCCCTGACGAGTCTGGATGGTCTGCCCGTCATGATTGTGCAGTGCGTCATCACCACCATTTACACCTGTAAGTTCCCCCGCCTCAGAAACCCAAAACAAAGACAATCTTGACTAACGAATCACCCCACAGCCCTCGGCGGCTTCCGCATCTCCTTCGTGACGGACAACATCCAAGGCGCAATGGTAATCTGCCTCATCATCATCGTCGCAATCACAATGGGCGTCAAAACCGACATCGACACCTCCCTCATCGAGACCTCAGGCCTCCTCAAGCCAACCCTCCTGGGCTGGCAACTCCTCTACATCCTCCCCATCTGCATCCTCACAAACGACTTCTTCCTCTCGGGCTTCTGGCTCCGCACGTTCGCCTCCAAAACAGACAAAGACCTCCGCGTAGGCGTCTCCATCGCCGTTGTTATCATCCTCTGCATCCTCACCATGGTCGGCGTAACCGGCCTCGTCGCAGCTTGGTCCGGCGCGCTCCCCCTGGACCAAATCGCAGATAGCGGCTCCATTGCCTTCTTCCTCCTCCTGCAGCAGCTCCCCGCCTGGGTCGTCGGCATCGTCCTCGTCATGGTCTGCACCCTCTCCACCGCGGCGTTCGACAGCCTGCAATCCGCAATGGTCTCCTCCGCCTCAAACGACCTCTTCCGCAACCGCCTCAACATCTGGTGGATCCGCGCCGGCGTCGTCCTCATCATCTTCCCCACCGTCGTCATCGCCCTGAAAGCTCCGTCCGTTCTGCAAATCTACCTCATCTCCGACCTCGTCTCCGCCTCCGTCATCCCCGTCCTCGTGTTTGGATTGGTCGACCGCTTTTACTGGTGGCGCGGCTTCGAGGTCGTCGCCGGCGGGCTGGGCGGCATCCTCACCGTTTTCTTATTTGGTCTCGTCTTCTACGACGGCGACGCGCAAAAGGCGGGCAACCTGCTCATCGTCTCCGAGGGCCTGTACGCCAATGACTGGAGCGTGTTTGGCGCCTTTGTCGCCGCGCCCGTGGGGAGTTTCCTCTGGGGTTTCGGCGCGTTGGGGTGCCGGTTGGCGTTCCAGTACGTATTGGCCAAGAAGAGCGGTCGCCGCTTCGACGCGCTGGATCGGCCCGTCGGACCTGGGTTCACGCCCGAGGCGGACGGCGCCCCTCGCTACGTTGAGAGGGACGAGTATGAAGCCAACTCTGAGGTTGAGGTCATTAAGCCCGCTGGCAAGTTCTTCTAAGGGCCATGCCTCGATCTCAACAGTGAACATGCTCCTCAGACCGAGCAAAGCATAAGCAACCACAAGGTGTTTTGCTGAAGCACTACATGGTTCTTACGCGGTGATCCATATGAAATTATGGACAGTGGAATATATACCCACGGAAAGGAATACAAACAACCCTAGCAAAAGGGGGAAAAGGGGAAGATTTTGATTCTTGTATTTGGTGGTCGGAGAGTCTTTTGCTCCTATGCAATCAGGCTCGTTCTATAGCCAGCCATTTAATCAGACACATATAATACACTCATTACATGTTTTTGTTTTACTCCTCATACACATGTCCGCCACTACCTCTGCCGTCGTTGCTAATGCTTTAAAAAGCATTACCATTATTTTTTAGCCCCAACTGACTTCTAGCAAGAAAGTGATCAGCCTTCACAGGTTTTCCCCCCTTCTCTTGGCATAGTCCTTCCTCTCCATATCCTTGATGCCCTTCTGCATCATTTTCCAGTCCTCCATCGTCGTGGCCTGCGTGTTACCCCATGCGATCCACTTCTTGGGCGCCCACGTCTTGGGGTTGAACTGCCTGGTCATGACAAAGTACTCTGTCTGGTTCTGCACCCGTAGGCCGCCCTTGACGGGCTTATTCGTCGACTTCTCAATCTTGTCTAGCTTCTGCGAGCTCGAGATGGCGACAACGACCTGCTGGATAACCGGTGCCTTGCCCAACGGCGGCATCATCGCGATCTTGTGGCTCACGATGCGCGGCTTGCCGTCGTAGCGGAGCAGCTCCCACGTCAGCTTCTCCGTTGCCTTGCGGCGCGAGATGACGGCCGACAGGGTCTGGTAGAGGGCCGGGGTGCAGATCTCGCGAAGGGTGTCCTTGTCGCCGGCGGCCAGGGCCTCGCCCAGGCGGCGGTGGAGGGCCTTGGCCTCGGGGACGATCTTGGTGTAGCTGAGCTGGAAGCGCGGCTTGGTGGTCCAGTTCGGCATGGAGTGGACCTTTGCGCCGAAGACGGCGAAGAAGTCTAGCACGCGTTGCTTCAGGCGGGCGTAGGTGTATGCCCAGAGGGCTTTGGGGGACTTGTCGAGTTGGGAGAACGGGACGGTGACGAAGGTTCCTGTTGTGAATGCCGTGTCAACGAGCCATTCTCTAACTTTCTATTTCCTGATCCCCCTCTCGTTCCATCCACGTGTAAAGTGCGCCTGTTCAACAACACTGTTTCGGCACTGGGAACGCACCTGGGAGCATAATGTGTGCCATGGTCATGGACTTTTCAATCTCGCTTGCAGAATACCCGCCATCGGCCTGCGAAGCTTTCTTGTTCTGGCGCGAACTCATCCGCATGTCTGCCGCGAATTTGCTTGCGTAGCATCTCCTCGCCGTGACGGTCATGGCAGGCGACGCTGCTATCCTCTTGGCTACGGGGAGAACTCTGGTGAAGGGCTGCCGGGGGCGCATGGCTGCACTGCCGAGGCCGAGCAGCGGCCTCGCGGATCGGTACATGGCGCGTGACGGATAGGTCAATCGGTCTCGATTCGTGATCGTTGGATTATGCCAGGTTCGAGGTCGTCGTCGTCGTCGTCGAGTGCGGGAGCGGGCGGACTCTGGGAATGGTCTGATTCCGAACAGGTCGTCCTGTCCTCTTACCGGGGAGCTCTATCACGAACACCTCTGCTGACCAAAAATTCCAATTGGAAAAACAAGTGGTCCAAGCTTTCGGGGGACATTTTTCTTGAGGGACCACAATTCGGTCGGAATCCTCCGCGGCAAGCGCTTCGGCCGTCGCATTTTTTGGAGACTGCGGAGTGCACGGTTCATGTTCTTGCCGCGATGGTCATTTGCGCCACACTGTGGCTTGAAGAGCGATGCTTCCCCCACTAGAGTTGAAAAACACCAATGACAGCCTCGATAGTCATCAAGCCACGTTGAGTGGATAGTTGCTTCCAAAAATGACGACGAAGCAGGCACTGGCAGGGTTGTGGTATCCGTTCATGATGTGTCGGACTCCGCAATGAGGGAGAAGAGGCATTCGTACCTTACGCTACGAATACGTACCTTACCCACGGTCGGGCAGGGACCCTGCTGTCATTGTCTCAATTCCGCATCCACAAGGGAAGCCCGACTAAAACGTGCCTGTACCTGCTCATGCTGCTCAGTTCCCAGTGCTCAGGGACGAGGTAGCAATCAAGATAATGTGAGGTAGCGAACCTGGAAGGTGGGAGGATGGATGCTTCACCTTTTTGGAATACTCATTAATCAATCCGAACCTTTTCCCTCTTCTAATCTGGTCTACACCTTTGACCAATAGCTCACCTCCTGGACCAGCTGGATTCGGCCATTTTGGTATTATCTCACGCACACACACATTCCCGCAATTGACACTTGTCGACACAATTGCGGGCAGCGGCACGCGACCTACCTGACTGGGCTTCCATTCCCCCTCCTCGTCTTCGTCTTCGTCCGTCCTCCGAATAACCCCCCAAAAAGGGTCCCTCACACTCGAGCTCCAATCCCCTCCTTCACATCCCGGCCGCCTCCGATTCTCCGGGTGCTCTCCGTTCCTTGGAACATTCCTGTCCAAAAAAACAAGAATACAGGGAGAAAACCGACCGCACCCCCCAGAAACGAGCTGCCGGACCGCCCAATCCCAAGTGCTGGAGCACGACGCCGAGACACAACCTTGGAAGCACCAGTGTGCCGAGCTACCTTTTTGTATGCCACTAGGTAGTTCTCGACTGGACCTTGCTTCTTCCAAACTTCCAGAAATCCGCTTCGCTCTGCTGCTACACTACGCTACTCGCCAACCTTACCTACCTTGGGGTTCAAGGTCCCAAAAGGCCTAGACGCCTACGGATACCGGACTCTTCAACCAACCGACCATCTCACAATAGCTTCGAACCTAACCCTCCTTCTTGTCCATCACACGCTCTCTTCCTCTCTCCGTCTGGCCCTTGCCTCCTTCGACACCTCTACAACCCCCATGCCGCCATCGTCGCCGCCGCCGCAGACAACCGCATCCGAATCCCCTCCATCAATGGCAGCGCAGCCCGCCGCAACACCACCGCCTCACAGAGCTTAGATGGCACCCCTCGCGCGCGCCGTCTCAAATCACCACCTCCAGCACCAACACCACCACACAAACGGCACCCCGATCCCCACGAACGGCGTTCCTCCAGACCCAAACGCAGACGACACCACTTCCGGCCACCCGCCGCCCTACAACCCGGACCTCGTCTCCTCCTCCCTCCTCGAACCCCGCATCGCCGTCGTCCTCAATGTCCCCAAGCCGTGGCGGCCATGGCTCTTCGCCTGTCGCCTTCTCTCCATCGGCCCGGCCATCTTTTGGGCCCTGCAGCCCGCCCTGACCCTCCTCGTTCAGATCATCCCCGTCGCCGTACCGGGGGGCAAGAAGGCTGTTGATGCTGCCGCTGCGGCAGCCTCCGGGGTCGGGGTTGGCGGTGTCGTCGGCGGCGGGTTCGCGGGTAGCACGTGTCCCCCGCCAAATTGGCCCCCCGGACACCCCGAGATACCGTTCCCATGGACTGAAATGTCCCTGGGACTCATGTGGGTATGTGGAAGTGTTGCTCTTTTCTGGAGAAGCATACAACGGCGCCTGCGCTGGGTTGTACCTGAAGATGAACCCCGAAAGATGAATCAAACGCTGACTTGAATATCGTGTTAGTGCGGAGCTTCAGCGTACCTCTCCTTCTTCTTTATAGACTGCCTGATGTCACGATGGTAAGTGGTTGAAGCGCACCTTTCTTTTCTACAGGCTGTGTTCTGCATTTAAGAGGCTCGTCTAATACCAACCAGGCTCATCAACTACACCCCACAAGCGACAATCATCCGCCTCCTAACAATCAACTCCACAAACGCCTTCCTCACCGAACGAATCCTCACATTTTCAGGCGGCTTCGAGGACCCAAGACTCCTACTCCCCGGCTGGGTCACCATAGCTACGGTCAGTCACTCGCTTGTTTCCACAGTAGCTTTTTACACTTGGACCCTCCCGAACAGCATTACGTGAACAACAGCTAACATCTTGCCCTGCGCGCGCAAAACAGACCCTTACGATAGCATACCACATCACCCAACGAAGCATAAACATCCAAAAGGAAACCTCCACCTCGATCAACATCTTCTCCATCGCCAGTTTCATCAGCATGATCTCCCTCCTCGCCCACCTCCACTACAACGGCTCAGACTACCCCGAGAAGCCGTTCGAATCCCTGGCCAGATTCATCCTGCAGCAGTTTGAGCGTGTTACCGGCGAGGCCATCTTGCCTTCCTATGCCCCTTCGCACAGCGAACTATAGGTGTCATGTCACGAATCTAAATTTTCGGAGCATTGGTCCATCTGTTTGATATTTATTGGTGAATGTAAGGGGGCACGAACTATATGCCATGGCGGACGGACCCCACGATGGAAAGTATTTTAGGGGCGGGAAGCACGAGAAAGAGGAAGCACGACCTTGTTGAAAGCAACGGGTGCTGAAATGTGCTTTGAGAAACATAGATACCCCAAATTCAGTCATGCTGCATATGACGTGGTTTCCTCCTGCAATAAGACAAGTTGCTGCGACATTATTACTGTCCACAACATATGGTTCAAACTTCCGTGTGGATGAAGGGTCAACTTTCGTCTGCTAGATGCCAAATCGCAAGGGTTTTCTCATGCAGTGGAATCATACTTGACCAGGCATTGTCTCAAAAAGTGACATATTTCAAGGAATTCGACGAATTGCTCAACGGTCAGAAGGCTCCAAAACAACAGCACACATCACAAACATGGCAAGAGAGAATTGGGACAAGTTTGTCATTTTCAAGACTAGATCTCTGGACCACCCAAACTATCAAAGAAAGTACGGTGGGCCTTTGTGAGATGCTCGAGATGTAACTGTCTCATCGTGCGTCGAAGCTGACGCAAGTCGCCCTCAACCTCCACCAATAACCTCTTCCGTCGGTGGTAGGTATACCGTCCTACTACGTCACATCGGGTGCCGACACTGAGCGGCGTCGAAAGGCGGGAGGCTGCTATGCCTCGTGGCTATTCTCAGACCCGGACGTCAGCCGTGGCCGTTGGAGCCATGGCTGGTAGGAACGGTGGCGACTTGCGGCGTGCTTAGAAACCGTGGACCTTGATGGTCTTGGAATCCAACCCGAGTCCCTCCTTGGTGTTGATGAGGAACTCTTGCACGACCTTGCGCTGGTCACCCTGGAGCTGGATGACCTCGCCCATCTCGCTGTCAGCTACGATGGTGCCATTGCAAGCTAGAAGAGGCCATGTTAGCAGGCCGCCGCGTCATGTTGGGGTTGAAGCGGGGTAATCCGTACCAAATTGCTTCTTGATGACCTTGAGAATCTTCTTCTGGTCGAATTTCTTCGGGAGACCCTGAACGGTGGTCAAAGTCTTTCGTCCATTGCGCTCTGCAAGTCATGCGTTAGTCACTGTATTGTGATTGGTTGCCTTGAGTCGACGCGCGTGGGACCGCTCTGTCGGGACGTGCGGCATTTGTGTCTCTCGACATCAAGGTTTGAAGGTTCGCGACGTACGTTGGATCCGAATATGGATATAATTTTGAGACTGTTTGGTCTCGCCGGTGTCTTCGTCGGCTTCGGCGAAGGGGTCTGAAGTGCGAAAATCGTCAGCATCATGGTAGGCAAGTTGGTGGCGGTCAGGGGGAGAGGGGGCAACGCGACGTGTTCCAGTCTCTTGGTGCACAGCGGGCCAGAAGACTCGCAGGAACACGGCGGTGATGATCGTGGACCGAGAGAAGACGACTGTGGTGGCGACATACCGTAGGACTTGAGATTTTCAATTGACATAAACTCGTCTGTTCGGGGGTGACCTTGGGAAACGGGTTGGGTGACGATTGTCGGGGTTTTAGCGACGGACGGCGGAGAGGCGGTCTCGCTGTAACAAGTGTTCGAGTAGTTGCGTTGTTAACACGAAAATGCGGTTATTCGCTGTTGATCTAGCGGTTATCTGATGTTGATGCTTGTACTGGGTCGATGATGATGAGGTGGTCGGAGACGGACGAAAGAGGGATCGCTGGGTGATTATATACGTCGGAAGATTTATGGGGGGTGGACGGGGTCTGCAGATCAGTGACTGATGTTAGGGTGGGCAGGCGGGCAGCCCGCAAAATTGGTAACTTGGGACGGAAGGAATGACGGACTTGGGTTCGGGCGGGCACTGAACAGAGTTACAAAGAGCGCTACTCACAGTCAGGTACCTATCTCGACTTATCTGCCTGTATTAGGTAGCGACGTGCGGATAAGGTACCTGACCTGGCTGGGTCTTAGGCCCTGCTGCACTGGTATGAGCAAACCGGGGGACTTGGAAGGTGCAGGTGGGCACGAGGGGCAACTATTGCACAGGGCAGGCACAGGCCACTGGCCGTTTCCTGTGCCTGCCCTGGCTGAACCAACGGGAAACGGAATCGCGTGAGCCGCTGACTGCGCCCGATAAGGTACCTTGACTTGGGAGAGATATGGCAATAGAACCTCCCACCTCATGGATCACCCGTACCTTCTTCTGCTTTACGATAGTTTCCACAAGGTACTGCTCCTCTTTACCTCGCACAGTTCAACGTGTTACTCACCCTTAGCCCATCATCCCAATGTCAGCCCTCGCAGTGAGCACGTTGTTTCTGACAAACCCGTCCGAGTCCTGCCCTGCACAAGATGACGACTATGGGTAAGGTACGGATACCTCATTGCAGAGGTTTGGTTGGTGGTCACACTTGGCACAGAAGCAACAGTCACACCAACACAAGCACGGCCCACACCTAGCTGTGGCTGGACTCGTCGACTCGCGCGCCGTCGCTGCGACCCCATGATTGTCCCTGGCTATTTGCGGTTTAGTCGGCGGGATGCCCAAACAATCTATGGATGCCATCTGCAGCTCGTATCTCGGCACCTTGCGCTACCCGGCCCTCAAGTACAGCCACCGTGAGACCTCTGCCAGCTCTCTGCCGGGACGTCGGCGCCACCGGAGCTTCCTCGATACATCATACAGCTGCAAGAGGTCTCTCGTCGGCAGCCACTACCTCCATCGATCACGCACTTTCAAGGACTGAGACATGAACAATCACCTGATAAGGGGCCCCCTGGAAGAGCGCCAACCCAAGAGAGGCACAATGTTGTTTGTTTCGTCTGCAAGACAAATCCTGACTCCGTGCGTCTGCGGCGTCCGCATCAACGCTATCTTGGCCAGCTTCCAGACCTTACGCCTCGACCAGTCCCGACTCTCCAATGACCATCTGCTGCCAGCCGGCCTTGCCGCTTTCGGCGCCCAGCCCTACAGCTCACAAGTCTCCGGATGCGGCTCCACGATGCGTCACTGGGAGCTGACTAGCATGTCCCTGTCCACCGTCACAATCCAACAATCCTACGGAGAGACTGACATGATTGAGCAAACGCAGCTTCGGTATCAGCGCACACAGGTTACTTGATCGTGAAGTCAAGAAATGGAGATTACAAGACTTCAAATATTCATTACAATTCGACATTCATCAGTCCAGCTCTGGCACCGGCAGATGGTCGACAAGCTTCAGATGTGTCAGACCCAGCTTCCCCAATGCTTCGATAGCGTTGCGGTCGCGCAGCTCCTGTGTCTCCTTCTCCGAGACCAGCACAAACTCCTGCCTCAGCAACCAGCTGCCTTCCTTGACGCTGTATTCATCCGCCGTCGCCTTGTCCACCTTATCGAGGTCGACAACAAGACTTTTCTTAACACCAAACACCGCATCCGACTTCTCATACGGGTCTCCCCGGATATAGAGCGCGCTAGGTGATTGCGTCAGCCAGATCCATGATCCATCTCACCCAAGACTGTCCATCCGCATCGGAACGGAACGAACGGCGGGTTCTTGAAAGAGCTAGCTTCTACAATGGAGCAACAGATATGGGCGGAGAAACCTACGTGATCAGATGGTCCCAGCCTTCCTTTTGGAACATGAAGTGCAGATGCGCTGGCCGCCAGCAATGACGCCCCAGCAAAGACAGCAACTTTCCAACCGGCCCATCGTGGGGGATTGGATAGCTCACGGGCTTGATTCCCTGGAAGAAGAAGCGACCCTCCTTATCCGAGATCATGACACAGCGCTCGCTCGCTTCTGTCCTCCCTTCGTGCTGCACGTCGTAGTGGCCACTGCTGTCCGTCTCCCAGATGTCAATCTTGACCCCAGAGATGGGATTGCCTTGTCGGTCCTTGATCGTACACACAACTAGCAGCGGCTCGCCCTCGGGATCTCCCGACATATTAGCCCCGTTCTCTAGAGTCGGCGCATCATGTGTGTGGAACGGCCCCAAGACGGAGCCTTCGGTGGAGTCGGATGGCTTGGGATGGTTGATGCTGTCGACAAGCAGGGAGAGGCCTAGGATATCGGAGAGGAGAATGAACTCCTAGCCGAATGGTCAGCGTCCTTCGTCAAGAGTTCCCAGGTCGTCCGCCATATTCACGACAGATGCACCTCACGCCGACTTACATGCCGCACGTCGCTGCTAATTTGTCCGCAGCCGACGAGGAAATTCAGCGCCGCCATCCACTCGTCGGTACTCAATCGCGTCTCCCGCGCAAAGTCGTGCAGATGGGTGACGAGCCGTTCCATGAGGTACTTGAGTCGTGCATTGTCGCTCTGCGAGTTGATACGAACGGTGTTGGGAGTGATGTTGTCGATCGTGAGATCCAGGAGCTCTGGTGTGTTTTGAGCCATTGTTGCTTGCTGAGCTTGCGTGATCTAGATGCGAGCAATAGCAAGAGTCCAATTCGCTTCTCAAATGTCCGGCCGAGATATTAATGGCTTTCTCTTTGCTCGTCTCGTCTGTCTTTAATATCAAGAACCCCGGATTTATCTGGCAGAGGCAGTGTTCTTCAGAGGGAGGGGGCAGTCTTTATGTAATGCTCTGTAATCGCTGATTTCCGAGTGGGCTACGTAGCTGTACCATGCAGTACAGATGGTCTGAATTTCGAGTGTCGGTCGACGGGTGATACCTTAGCCGCGTCGCGGCAAATCCGCCGTACCTTGGACGTAGTCGCACACTTCAGAGCACAACGGATTTACGGAACAAGTCTCTAAGTCCTAGGATTAACTGCTTGGAAAGAGGTATGTCAGCACATTGTCATTTGATAGTTCCCTAAGACTCGAGCATACGGTAATTCTCCCCCTCTACCCCTCCCCCCTCAACATCCCCAGCTAGGCACCTACCTGGGTGGTAATCCCCCTCCGGCACACAATCTGAGTCTCTGACTTCATAGAGGAGAGGGCGTCCTGCGGGGTACTAGCGCTGCCCCGCCCCCACAACCTGTCGCGGGAGAAGGTGAAGCACCGAAGTTTGGTGGAGGGGTTGGAGGGGTAGTGTAGATAGTGGCCCGAGCGTCACCCCCCGGGTCCTGGCTCGGGACTTGCGATGGGAGGGCGGATTGTGTACCTAAGCGGCCTTCTTCGGCACTCGCTCTCGGCCGGGATGTCCGGGGAATAGCTCAAGTAGGGGATCGTAACGACGAGAGGAGTTACAAGTGGTGTATCTAGGTAAGGAACTGTGTTGTGTTCTGCCATTAATCTGGGGTGACGAGAGGCTGTACACTTTGGTATGGAGCTTTGGTCCCTGGTGTTTTGCGTGTGGTTGCTATTGTGTAGGGATACCGGACTATCAAGTACTCACACGACGATGACTACATCTTATATATAACGGAGAGACACCTCTAATACCATGTAAGGATTGATTTACGTTTCGCATAGGCTCAAAATGACGGGTAGCAAGTGTGAGAGGATACTGTGAGATTGGGCAGCGATAGTGCCTTTGGCTCAGTGAAGTAAGGTACCTCGTGCGTTTTAGAAGTGTGTTATTAAATTGACCTTCTTCTGAACTGGGACTTCAGTACAGGATTGAGGTACGATGCCAGCCTCTCTGAGCTTTTCTTCCCATCAGGAACTGATTGTGGGCTTTCCTTCCGGTACAATACCCTACATACCGTGGCACACTGGCTAGCAGCCCCGAGTCTCATCATCACCTCTTCTCGATTACGAGCTCCGTGCCGTGTAAGGCCCACTTTCTCCGACTGAGCCCTCGGCTCCGGCAGCGGCGTAAGGATTCTCGGAGCGAAAAGTCGGTACGGAGTACTTCCTTTTTTATCTTACCTCTAACACAATCTCGTGCGGACGCGGACTAACAAAACCACCAATAACGCAAACATGGTTCAACAAGAAATCCACCGGTGATATACGGTGTACCCTATCAACGACGCGACAAAACGACACAATGCAACTCGGAAGATTGGATAAAATTTCTCTTGCACAAGGGGAGAAGAAACCTAAATCCGAGTCATGACATTCACAAAACAACTCATTATTCACAAAATGAGGGACAAACAGAGCATTCATCCAGCAGGTATTGGACGCGAAGGTATTGTGGTATTATAACTTACTCTGTACGTAGTAAAGATAACTCCGCGGATAAAGCAGCTTTGAGAATCTGAATCCAGCAACTTGACAAATGTCCTCCGTCATTTCCCAACCCCTTCCCGGACGCCGACGAATCAATCTCGGCACTTGCTGGTCCCTGCATGATCATCACAACTCAAAGTTCACGACCGTGCCCGAGCTTTTGCCTTTTTTTCTTCTTTTTCTTCAGGACACATTTTTTATTTTTGAAGCGATGTGATGTTCTTTCGCACACTTCCTTACGCTAGTGTCCACGATAAGGTATTCGTAGTCTGCATTGGAGGTTTCCCCGTAGCCGCCGGCCTTAAATAAGGTAGGTTCGATCCCGCCTTGATAACCGGTCCAGACTGGGGAGGTGTGGCATGTAATGATGTGCCTGGTTTGCCCAGAAAGGGGGGAACCGTCCCTACTTCTTTCACCCGTTTACGCCTTTACGGAAGGCCGGGATTGAGGTTGGGATTGGCATTTGCTCTACAAGGCAATCACGGACAAGAAATTTGTAATCATAAGGTGTGCCCTGGTGTTGATGTTGCGCGCAAGTGCCATCGGATTAAGCTCCGACCAGACTCCTGTTCCCCTTTCCCCTTTCCTTGCCCTCCTTTCGCAGTAGTCCTCGGGGCCCTCTTCCCCGTACCCTCACCATCCCTGGAACGACCGTTATCCACCTTTTGGTTTTCCCGAACCCAACCCGGGGTCGGCTTTCTCAATCTACCAACCTACAAACATTCACATTGACAACGACCGAGGAGAAATCCAGAGCGAGGAGATATGGCTGCCGCTGGGCAACCTCTAGTGAGTTTGACGAGACAACTTCCAACCTCACATTGCATGTTCTTTGTTTCACGTGACTGATTGCTTCTAGGAGCCCGATACATTTGATTCGGACTCGGCAATCTCGGAGGTATGTTGTGGTTTTGTTCTGCCCAGCTTGCGTCCTCTCTCACCCCACCCAATTTTGTACCTTTCTCATGTCTAGTTACGTGGCGGCGTTTCACGTCACATCCCGCGCAGCTAGAACTCCAAAGATGCCACCAGAAACGCAACCGGAGCATGGCTCTCACAATGTTTCCAGACAGCTCCGGCAAACACTGACGATCTCGTGTGCTGCAGCTTCGGAATGGCAGTACCGATTCGCCTACCCCGAGTATGTTGACGGTGCTGGAGGAGAATGGCAGGACGTATCACGCGATGAGTTCCGGGAGTGAGTAGTGCCTTATGAATAAACCCCAATGCTTTAATTTTTTGACTGACGACGTCAAACAGAATACCCATTTCCCAATGATATTGTCGAGCAGGAACGCCTAGGTTTGCACCTCTGCCCCTCCTTTCCGTGTGCGGATTTGGAAAGGAGCCTCGAAGCTCACATGTGTATCATTTCAAATCAGATTTTCAGCACCTCATGTGGAGTGTGACGCTTGATGACAAGCTCTGCCTGTGTCCCAAGGGCTCCCAAAAGGCAAAGCGCGTGCTGGACGCCGGTACGGGCACCGGGATCTGGGCGATGGACTATGGTGAGATAAATCTCATCCTGCCTCACCTTGCTTTGGGGTTATGAAATTGACAGTATGGGAATTGTAGCGGACGCACATCCGGAAGCCAAGGCAAGTTTATGAGATCCTCTCCATCCTGGCCGACGGCTACTAACACTGCACTCAATCCAGGTCATTGGTGTAGATCTGAGCAACATTCAGCCGAAATGGTAGGCTCATCAAGTGAAAAACAATCTCACCGTCGTGCTCACTGACGTGGGGATGACAGGACCCCTCCGAACTTGACATGGGAGCTGGACGACCTAGAGCAGAATTGGACTTGGTCTCAGCCGTTCGACTTCATCTTTGTCCGCATGCTAGCAGGGAGTCTCAAGAACTACCAGGACTTTATAAACCAAGCTTTCGAGTGTGTCTCAACCTTTCTCTATCACTCTCATACCCATTCCTCTCATTCCATGCACAATTGCCCCAGCAACAACTCAAATACTTACTTACTAAACAACCCAGAAACCTCGAACCAGGCGGCTACCTCGAAATGCAAGACCTCTCTCTTCCCTACCGTTGCGACGATGCATCCCTAGCCCCCGACTCACCCATCCACAAACTCTCCGACCTTTTTCTCAGAGGCGGCCGCGTCACAGGCCGCAACATGGACGCGGCGCCCACCTACGCCGCCCTCATGCGCACCGCGGGCTTCGTCGACGTCGAAGAACACCAATTCAAGTGGCCCGTCAATGCGTGGCCGCGCGATCCGCACTTCAAGACATTAGGCGCGTACACGCACTGTAACCTCGACCACGGGCTCGAAGGGCTGACGTTGGGACTCGCGACGAGGAATTTGGGGTGGAGTAAAGAGGAGACGCTGCTATTTTGCGCGACGGTGAGAAAGAGTTTGAGGAGTCATAGGGTGCATGCTTATGTCCCTTTGTGAGTTGGGTGGTTCTGATGAGGAGGTAAAAGTAAGTGTGTGCTGACTTGCCTGGCATAGATACGTTGTGTACGGGCGGAAGCCCACGGTGGCGGAGAGGAGCGGTTCTAACTCCCCGGACGGTATACAGTAGCCGTTCATATTTCTCCTGTTGTTTGGTACATTATTGGGAGTAGGAACAAGGATAGACTTCCGGGCTGGCGGTTTACTAGGGGGTTTCATTTCGCATATGGATCATGGTGTTTTGGCGTATTACCTTACTTGGGAGAGCATAGTTCATCAACGGCAGGGGAAAGGCAAAGGGGCCTTTTATCACGGGAAGAACCTGGAACGCTTTGTCGGTTCATCGAGAAATCCATTTCATTTTCTCATTCACTCTAGCTAGGAAATAACTCCGGCACTTCATCCGTCGGATTGCGGTACAAAGTAAACTCCTGGTATGGGTGCGTGTGCGCTGGTCCAGACGCAGTTTAAATGAGATCGGGATAGAAGAAAACAGGCGTTTGTCTTCGTCGTGAGACCTAAGCACCCCGATTCCTTGCCCGAGCACGAGATGCGATTCGATCCATGTGTTTCTTCCACCGAGTCCACCAGACCCCATTTCTCTCCTGGACCACTGGCCCGTCGGGCGACTCTGCATCATCATCAACAGGGTCCGTTCCACTGTGGTGTCGGAAGATGGGGCCAAGTCCTCCCCAGGGGTAAGCCGGGCTCGAAGGGAGAGGCACGTTAGAGATGGTTGTGGTAGGCGTGCCGGCCACGGAGAAAATAGTACCTGAGATGGCACCGCTGTCTCTGCTGGGGTTGCTCAGGCGGCTTGTCGTTGATGTGATGAATGTTGTGGCTGGGTCTACAGATGTCCATGTTTCTGCGATGTTGTTAGAATGAATACGATAGGTCGGGAGGGTCTGACCTACGATTTGTTCTGGCTGAAGACGTCCATGTACTTGTGAACCCTGCCGACGATGCTATCGTGATGTTCCGCCATCTTGAGGTGCAGGAAGATCTGGGTGGGTACGCGGTGTAAACGGTGTTGTTTGAAGTGGATGGTGGGTAGGCCACAGTTGGATCAGCCTTCGCCGTAGCGGAAGTGATGAGAATGCTTGTGGTGACGACCCGAGTTATGGTGCCGTTTGTTACAGTGACAGTGTTGCAGGGCGAAGGAGTTCCAGATGGAAGGCTAGCAGAGTTGGTAAATGCTGGGCCTGCTGACTCGGTAAAAGAAGAGGGTCCAGAAGGCGGCGCGGTGCCGGAAGAAACCCGAGAACCAGATGAGTTGAAAGGCAAAAGTGTAGGTACAGGTAATATAGACACAGAAGAGAAGACAGTTCCTGGCATAGTCGAGGTGATATGAGACGTTGAGATTGCTCCAGTGATGGTGGTTGAGTTGCTGAAGGGGGGTAGTGAAGACGGATTACCAGTTGTAATGGGTACAGATCCCGTTGAGAAGGCCGTGCCATTTGATTTCGTTACCGTCGTCGTGTTTCGTGAAGTAGGCAAAGGAGCGGTGCCAGATAGTGTTGTTGGTACACTAGTGGTTGACAACACATTTGATGCAGTTGAATTGGGCCACTGACCCCAAGTTGAACTTGGATCTGTCGGAGCACTGAATGGACCACCTGTGCCTCCCCGGGTGCCACTGACTCCCGTGCCGGCCGTGGTGCCAGTTGCGCCTGAAGTTGCCGTACCGTTGAAGGTTGGGAAAGGAGGCAAGGGGACAATCGTGAGTGTTTGGGTAGTGCTGCCATTTGCTACCGTGGCGGTCAAAGTAGTGACGGGGAGTCCCGATGCTGTACCAGGGATCCAAGTTGGCCTTGGAATAGCAGTGGCATTTCCTGTTGTTGGGAATGGAGGCAAATTGACTGTAGACGAAGTGCCGTTGGATGTTTTTGGGGTTTCGGAAGTTTGGAACAATGTTCCTGAAACCCGTGTGCCACTTCCTGTAGGTCTAGGCAGCTTGGTGGAGTTAGTCGTGGGGAAAGGTGACCAGCCACTTCCGATTGATGTGTAAGTGATGGCAGTGGTTCCCGAGTACACTGTGGAAGGCGGCCTACCAGAGTTGTTGACCGTAGTGGGCCAGGGGATCTGGGTTGAATCGAATGTGGGAAAGGGGGGTGATGCTGCTGAAGACTTCAAACTGCTTGTGGCGTTGGCTGTAGACGTCTGCAAAAGCGTTCCATTTGAGGACGAAGTAAGACTGGGACTCATCCCGGTTGGCCACGAAGTGATTGTGCTGCCTCCACTCACGATAATGACTGAAGCCGTTAGGCCTCCGCTAGATGTCGAGTTGGCCCAAGGGAACGATGTCAAGGCTGAGCTAGTAATGTTTGATATACCAGTTGCCGACGAGGTGATGACGGGAATTGAAACGGTGCCGGTCAGTGATGCCTGGGTGGAGTTGAACGTTGGCCACGGGGGTAAAGTGGCCGAAGCTCCTCCTGAAGTCCTATTAGAGGTTGCTGGATTTCCGGAATGGCTTGTCGCTGTCCAAGTGGCGTTAGCACTCGCGGCCCATGTCGAGTTTGGTAGTTGAGGAGGGGTTGCAATAGTAGCAGTAATGCTTGTGGCATTGCCGATCGATGTAATGACTCCCGTTCCCGTCTTGGAGCCTCTTGTTAAAGTCATAGTCAAACTCGAGTTCCATGGAGCAGTGAAACCCGTTCCGTTCGTGGGGATCGTGACTGGGCTACCTGAAACTAGACCGCTACTACTTCTCGTCGACAGCATCAGAGTAGTCGTGTTCGACGCAGGATATGGCACAGTTGAGCTGGAGCTGTTGGCTGCCGAAGGAAGTGTACCAGTGCCAGATGAGACAGGCGATGGACTTTCTTCACTAATAGAGGCAAGCGTACCGCTTGGCCATATTGTTGAGTTGGGCGGAAACCAAGGCGCGGCAGTGATAGCAATGCTTGTTCGGATGACGGAGCCTGTTCCTGAGATGATGAGAGTTGAAGTAGGCAGAATCACCGTAATGACGGGGTGGGAGGTCCAGTTTCCGGTCGGGTTACTTGGAATGGTCCCGTTTCCATGGCTGACAACCGTCGAGGAGGTAACTGGTAGAGTGTCTGAGGCTCGAGAGCTGATTGATACACTGGTGAAAACGCCTGTGCTAAGTGTGGTCTGACTGTCTGTGACCGGAGCACCTGCCTGTGTGCTATTCCATCCGACAGTAGCTTGTAGGGTATGCGAGAGAGTTGTCAACCGAACGGATCCATTGGCGCTGAGAGTGACGACAGAAGGTCCTACAATGAATGAACTCGCAGGCTCCGAGAAGCCAACGGAAGAAGTTCTCAACGAGGACGAGTTGAGTGAGTAAGTCTGGGAGATGGTCACCGAGGTGTGGAAAGCACTTGAATTCCAGAGCGTGGGCCACGGGCTTTCCACAGGTTGAGTCAACGAAGGGGATTGGCCCGAAGAAATGAAGCGAGACGTTATTGATTCGGAAGCGTTGTAAGAAGCTGAGGCTGAACCACCGGTGGCAGTCTGTATCTGGGACGATGTATTGAATGCAGTGAATGGCGGCGAGGGCGTGGAAGTGGCCGATGCTGGACCAGTTGCGGAGACGGCCGTGCTGTTATTGACTTCAGATACGGAAGCGAGAGTGCCAGATATAGTCTCTGAGGATGTCTGATTTGCGCTCATCGACGCTGACAAAGGGGATGACGTGACGGTTCTGGTCGAGGTGTTGGCTGGCGGCCAAAGAGTTGACTCCGTCAAAACCGAGGATGAGATACTTGAGGCTATGGAGCTGGACGAATTCAATGACACAATGGTGCTAGCAACCTTGGAAGATGCAGTACGTGAAGGGCTATCAGAACTAGGGCGGTACGTGACAGTATCGGAGAGAGTGGCGGTAGCTCCAACAGAAGCAGTCAAGCTCTGAATAGTAGAGTCAGAGACGCCATATGTGCTGGAGTCACTGGCGAGCGAGCCGATTTCAGTTGAAGACGCTACGTATGTTAGTCTAAGAGCAGCATCAGAGATATATGACAGACTAGCCATAGTCACTGTTAGCAGAGGAAATCGCGGTCAACGGCGGCTGGTCACCGTAAGAGGTGGGAGTAGAAGGCGGCGGGTAAGTGTATCCATAGTCGTAGCTGATGAAGGCGTCGGGATTCTGAGGACTCCTCGCGTGATGCTCAATCTCGAGGGTGGCGACGAAGGACTCGGCTTTGTCCTGCTGCATGAGGTCATCGGCATTGACAGAAGCTGTCACGCCTGTAGCAAAGAATAGCACACCGACTACCGTCGTAATTACGACAAGGAGAAACGAGGCTCGCATATTCGGGGTTCCTTCTGAGGCGGCGTCAGTACGATGTTCATTGGACATAAATTGATTGATGACCATACCTGGCGAGCCACTGATGCTAGAGGTATTCAAACAAACGAAAGTCTCTGATACGAGTGCAAGTGAGCGAATGACAGCCGGCTCACTCGTATTTGAGTGATTGGGGATGGGTACAGGGGAAGAAACGAAGGAGGGGGGAGGGCAAGAGAGAAGGAGAAGGGGAGGGAAGGCCGAGGTGGAAGAACGGGGGAATGAATTCTGTGTGTAAGTAAGGGAAGCAGGGGAAGTCACAATTATAGCAAGAAAGAGCTCGCAACTTGCCTGGGGTAATGGATGGGATGTGTGGTATCGGGAAGGCAATACCACCAACTGACTTACACATGCTCCTCCTTCCACATTCATGACAGATTTCATCTCCTTCGTCCGGCAACTCCAGGTCTCCCTTATCTTTCAAGACGCCTTCCTATCACTACAGGTATCGTATGCTTCCACTTCATTCGTTCTTGCCATGCCCCGGAAGCAATTGCTGTGGCGGGCCGAATGGAGACAGCCAAAACATCGTAAATTCCATGTCCAGTCTGGAGGGGAAATGTTGAAGAAACGCCCCTTCATGCATTGGAATTCATTTCTATCCATGTTGGAAACTTGGGGGAAATAGAACGGCTTGTACACGAGAGTAACTAGGTGGTTACAAGAGAAGAATACCCGACTGCTTAGCGGCCCCCGGACCGAGTCCGACAACAGCACATAGGTACGAGATTGCAGTATGATGGTTGGCTCGAGTGCATCGACCACATCAATGCCATACATCCGTATCAGTGGAACGAAGAGAAAAATGGACTTATCGTTCGGTACCCTGTCGGCAACGTCTTTGTCTGCCATGTC